AAAATTTGGACATGCAAACTTAGTTGGGATGAAGTATTGCCCGATGATTTGTTGGACATTTGGAAAAGTTTTATAAAGGGTTTTATTAACATGCAAACTTTGGAGATTCCTCGGAATTTATATTTCACAAACGCAAATAGCATTGAGCTTGTAGGGTTTTGCGATTCGTCCATGATAGCATATGGAGCAGTCATTTATGTAAGAACATTTTTTCCTGACAGAGTACATGTAAATTTAGTTTGTTCAAAGTCTAGAATAGTACCTATAAATAAAAAACTTACCATTCCTAGATTGGAACTTAATGGAGCTTTGCTTTTAGCAAATCTGGCAAAAAAGGTGTCTATCTTATTGCAATCAAAAATTGATAAAGTATTTATTTATTCTGATTCGACCATTGTACTTGCTTGGTTAAAATCAGATCCTCTGAAATTAAACCCTTATGTGGCAAACAGAATTATAAAAATTCAAAACTTAACTTCAACTTTTAAATGGTTATATATTAACACGAAAGAAAATCCTGCCGATTGTCTATCCAGGGGTCTCGAGCCTCAGGAAATTGAGTCAAATAATCTGTGGTTCCACGGTCCAAACGTTCTTTCTGATATTAATTTTTGCCATAATGAGATTCCTATAGAAATTCCTGCTTCCTTGCCAGAAGAAAAAATTTTAACACAAGTCATAAAAACAAAGCCAAATTCATTTTTTGAAGATTTTTCATCCCTTAGAAGACTTCAAAGAGTTTTTGCCTATATACTTAGATTTGTTCACAATTCTGGAAAAAATTCTGGTGAAAAACTTGAGGGAAGTTTGAAGCTTTCAGAACTGGAACACAGTCTTAGAGTAATCATAAAATGTGAGCAAGACTTTTACTTTTCTAATGACATTAAATCTTTACTTTCCAATACCCCTTTAAAATCCTCATTAAACTCTTTGTCGCCGTTCCTAGATGGCAATGGATTATTGCGAGTGGGTGGAAGGTTACATAATTCAAACATTCCATATAATCAGAAACATCCTGTGATCTTGCCCAAGGAAAGTCACATCACCAAATTAATTATAATACAAGAACATTCAACTTTGTTGCACGCTGGACCAAGACAAGTTTTAGGTTCCCTAAACCTCAATTATTGGCTCATAAATGGAATAAGATTAATTAAAAAAGAGCTACACAAATGTGTGATTTGCTTTAAATTCAAAGCAAAATGTTCCACTCAATTAATGGGTTCCTTGCCGGAAAAAAGAGTCTGTTCAGCCAGAGTGTTTCAAAATGTCGGGGTAGATTTTTGCGGTCCCTTCCTCGTTAAGCAATCTCGAATTAGAAAATCCGTAAGTTCCAAGGCATACATAGCACTTTTTGTGTGCTTTTCAGTCAAAGCAATTCATATGGAACTGCTTTCAGACCTGACAACCGAAAATTTTCTAGCTGCTCTGAAGCGTTTTATTTCGCGGAGGGGGAAGCCCGCAAATATTTTCTGCGACAATGGTTCCACGTTTAAAGGAGCCGAGAATAAAATCAAAGAGTTTTATAACGAAACAGAAAAAATTGAAAATTATTCCCTTCAGGAAAAAATTACATTTAATTTTATACCGAGCTATTCTCCAGTTTTTGGTGGTTTATGGGAAGCTGGAGTAAAATCGGCAAAATTTCACATCAAGCGAGTCATAGGTAGCAATGAGCTTACCTATGAACAATTTAATACTCTTATTGTCCAAGTAGAAGGAATTTTAAATTCCCGACCACTTGTAGCCTTGTCACAAGATCCTTCAGATTTGGACTATTTGACCCCTGGTCATTTTTTGATAGGTGCGCCTATCACAAGCTTTCCTGACCCTGATTTGACGGAAATTCCCCAAGGTCGACTTAAGTTTTGGAAATTGTGTGTCCAGATGCAGCAGCATTTTTGGAAAAAGTGGTATCACGACTATCTAACGCAACTCCAAAATAGGCCAAAATGGCGTGATGAGATGCCTAACCTTAGGGAGGGCTTGTTAGTCATTTTAAAAGAGGATAATGTACCTTCTTATAAGTGGCCAATGGCAAGAATAGTTAAAGCAATACCTGGAAAGGACGGCAAAGTAAGGGTTGTCGAAGTGAAAACCAAAAAAGGTATTTATCTCAGATCGGTTACCAAGATTGCAGTGTTACCGATTGATGACAATAATTGTTAATAATATTTTTGAAAATTATTCACAAAATTCTGTACATATATTTGTAAAACATTTAGATTTATATTTATATTCAATTAGCTATACTCGTATATACATACATAATGTCATACTATGTGTTCCAGAAATGTTTTTAGCTTTAATTGTTAGTTAAGTTTTCGTTTACTGGATCATCATTGAAATCATACCTTTTTTTAAAAAAAGGGTTGCTTACTTTCTCTTTAATTTTTTTATTTTTTTTTTTTGCTGGAAAATTTTACCTTGGTTTCATGTGAAACTCTAGGCCCCCCAGCATGTTGGAAACATGTTCCAACAATCATGCTATCTCTTTTTGATGGCAAAATATTTTTATACATATAAAGTTTGCAACACTGCAGCGTTGTCGTCATGTCTATTTTGTCATGTCTGTCAATATATTGCGCGCCATTTTTGTCATTGCAGCAGTGTAGCTTGGAGCTTGTCCACGTTAACAAGCATCCAGAAACCTTTTCACATTTTAATAAATTTTATAATCTAGCTCTGCCCTGTTGGGCATCTAAGCAAGCTCTGGCTTCTTGTCATCTTGTAGTAGTAATTGTAAATAGTGTAAATATTGTGTAAATTGTTGTAAATATAGTGTCAGTGAAAAGCGCGTGTGTTTTAGTTCCCTATCCAGTCGATCATCCAGTCCACCTAATTATACAGTCCACTAATTATCAAGTTATTTATCTTCCATTATGTGGTTTTGCACAGATAATTCTTGTTATTTTCTAATTCCCCCTTATTTTTTTCAACTTTTGGAAAACTTGATAATTTTTGTTATTCCCGCAATTTTTCGCGTTTTTTCCATCGTGATGTTTTCGTAATTCCAGTAATTATTTGTATTTTCAATTTCTTAATTTTCAATTTTCCTAATTTCCAAAAAAATTCGGAATTTTCTCTAAGTTATTGTAATTTTTGTAATTTCAAAAACTTGTGATTTCCGTTATTTTGGGAATTACCGTAATTCACGTAATTTTGAAATAACTTTGTAATTCTTTCCCGTAATATTTCGTAATACCCGTAATTTTTGTAATTTTCGTAGTTTTTCGTATTTTTCTCAATTCCCGTAATTTTTATAATTTCTCATAATTCCCGTAAATGTTCGTCATTTCCGTCATTTTACTGGGTTCCGTAAATTTTTATAGTTCCCATTATTTTTCGTAATTCCCGTAATTTGTCTTGTTAGTTTTCGTAACTTTTCAAAAATTAGTAATATTTAAATAATTGACGTAATTTTGGAGTAACTTCGTAATTCTTTTGTGTAATATTTGGCAATTCCCATAATTTTTGTAATTCCCGCAATTTTTTGTTATGCCGCGATTCTCGTCATGTTCCGTAATTCTCGTAAATGTTTGCCATTCTCATAATTTTTCATATTTTACGTACTTTAACCCGTAATTTTTTCAAAATTTATCGTTATTCTCGTAATTTTGAAATGAGGAAAAATGAGGATAACATGAGTCAAAAATTTCAAAAAAAGTGAGTTTAAATTCGCGGAAAAGTAAGATGAGACTCGCGGAAAAATGAGGATAAAGTCACGAAAAGTGAGGATAAAATCGCGGAAAATGAAATAGGACTCGCGGAAAAGTGAGGATAACGTCGCAAAAAAAAAAGTGAGGCAAGAATCGCCGAAAAATGAGGTAATATTTACAGAAAAGTGGGTTTACAATCGCGAAAAAGTGGATTTAGAATCGCGGTAAGTGATGGTGAAATCGCAAAAAAAATGAGTCAAAAATTGCAAAAAAAAAAAATATTCAAAAATCGCAAAAAAAGTGAGGTCAAATTCGCGGAAAAGTGAAGATAAAATCGCGGAAAGTAGGGAAAAAATAGCGGGAAAATGAGGTAAGAATCGCGGAAAAATGAGGATGAAATAGCGGAAAAATAAGTTTGTAATCGCCGAGGAGTGAGGGTAAAATCGCTAAAAAGTGAGGGTGAAATCGCAAAAAAAGTGAGGCCAAATTCGCAAAAAAAGAGAGTCAAAAATCGTAAAAAGTGCTAATTTTTGCTTTAGGGGTGCTTAGCACCCCCCTAGTTGCGCCTATGAGTACCATTTATCTAGTGTGTAAATCCAAATCTTCAACGGCTGTCTCGGTCGGCGCAGGGTCGTAGAAAATACACTCCTGTGTGTTTTACGCGAAATTTACTTTTAAGTAATTCTTTTATAAGAATGAGAAGAAACCAAATTTATAAATAATGTTGCATTAACGCAGTAAGTGATTATAGTACGCAGTTATGCTAGGTAATGTAATTTCATCTTGACTCGCCTAAAGATCTCACTCTTTGGAACAGCTAAAATTACTTGTTTTTCAATTTTTCGATATTGCTGGATTTTAAAATTGATCATATTTAAGCTAAAAAAACTTTTCAATATCTTTGTCAGTTTCATTACCCCAGAGACTCCGTGTTTTGTAGAAATCTACATATCGACGCCCTGTGCGGCATTTGGATATGTTTCGATATGTCGAATTATACGTGGCACGGAGTTTCACCACTGATGAGTTTATCTGTATTGATGTCTTCTTTTCTTCAGACGTCCTTATCGACATTTTGCAAAATTATTTTCTTTTTCTGCTATAGTAAATGAAGTCTCCGTCATTTGCTTTGTTCCATCAAGATCTGCTCCAACAGTTTCAGTTTCAATTAAAAGTGTGTCTTGTTTTGTTTGCTCCTTCTTTTTGTCCATTTTCATCGGATAAAAATGTGAGTGGTTGTCTCTATTTTCCTTGTTGGTATTTAGTGTAGCTCAAAATCTTTTTTCTCTGTGTGAGTCTGTGAATTAAATCTCAAAAACATTTATCTATTTTTATTTTCAGAGAAGAAGTCAACGTCATGCGCATAGCCTTCTACCTGAAAATCGTCATCTTAATGATGGGAGCCATAGCCACTAAAATGGGCTTTTATGTTCTCATCATGACTTACATCTGGATCGGCTATACTCCAGACGCCCAGCTAATCTACTACGTGTCTAATTTATTCAACAGCTTACGCTTTCTCTTGGGGGTTTGCATCCCCATAGGCATTGGAAGAGGAGCTGAGTTGCTGGCAGCTATCAGGCGAATTAACAGAGTTTTAAGAGCCGAAGAACTCTGTAGAGATAATGCTCATGACGAACCCACTGAACATCCAAAATTACAACTTAAAAACGCCACTGTGGCAATCAATAAATCCTTGGCCTTGCAAGACGTGACTTTATTAATCAATAATGGCCTTAATATCGTGACTGGCAGCGTTGGTTCTGGCAAGAGCTCCTTATTAAAAGCCTTACTTCAAGATTACCCATTGGAAAGCGGATTTGTGGCAACTTATGGCAGAATTTCTTACGCTTCCCAAGATCCTTGGCTATTTCCTTCTTCAATCAGGCAGAACATTTTATTCGGCGAAAAGTACAACGAAGCTAGATACCAGGAAGTGGTAAGAGTATGCGCGCTCAGATACGATTTGAATCTACTCGAAAACGGAGACCAAACCATTATGGCCGACAATGGCATCAATCTAAGTAAAGGCCAACAGGCCAGAGTCAATTTGGCAAGAGCAATTTACAAGGAAAGCGAAATCTACTTGCTGGACGATTCGTTGACCGCTTTGGATGCGCACGTGCAAGATCACATTTTCAACGAGTGCATCAAGAAGTTTTTGAAAAGCAAAATTGTGGTTTTGGTCACGCAAACTGTGCATCACATTCAGGATGCTGATAATGTTATCATTATGGAAAATTCGAAAATACGCTCATCTGGTAAGCCTGCTCAAGAGATTTCTATGGAAGAGATTGCCAAATTAGTTGGCAAAGATGACGAAATGGAAAAAGAAATTATCGATAATAATGATTTAACTAAAATTAAAGATGTTGAAAATGATGTTGATAATGATGAAACTGGAGAGCTTTTAGAAACTACCAAGATTAATACAGAGAAGATTTATAAAGAAGTTACCAAGAAAGGAGATGTTAGTTTTTCAGTTTACAAAAAATACTTTAAGTTTGGAGGAGGTTTTTGTTTATTTTCTGTAGTGGTTTTCTTGTTCATGGCTGGCCAGGGCACTGAAACGGCTTCGGATAAGTTTATCGCCATGTGGTAAGTTACATTTTTTTATTAAGGAAACTATAGGCTTTTTGGATTCGTTAATAAATTGTCACAAATTCCATTACAGGATCGATGCTCAGCAAAAAGAAGTGGACCTAAAAGTAGCTAATCAAACTGACACTCCACTATTCGAAGAAACTGTGGCACACAAAAATCTTTACGTCACGCTTTATTCGGCAACACTTTTCCTGTCTACGGCGCTAATATTAGGCAGATCATACGTGCTCTACGATTTTTGTAGACGCGCCTCTATTAAGCTCCACAAAGTTATGTCTACTACAGTGATCAATGCTGTAATGGCATTTTTCGATACGCATTTCATCGGCAACGTTTTGAACAGATTTTCGCAGGATTTGATCAATGTCGATGAGTTTTTGGCTGATTGTTTGTCCGAAGCTTTTAGAGTAAGTTACTAGACATTAGAAACAGTTCTTGATAATTGTATTACCTATTTTCAGGTTACAGTTCAAATTATCGGCATCTACGTTAACATTTCGTTAATCAATTGGCGTTTTTTGATACCAGGCTGTATTTTTTTCGCCCTTACTTTTGTGTTAAGACGGCTTTACATGCCCACCGGGAGAAGCTTGAAGCGACTTGAAGCAGCAAGTAAGTTTCATCTTTATTACTTTTAGGAAAACATCTATTTTGTCTATTTTTCTATAGCGCGTAGTCCTTTGGTTGGTCATTTGAATGCCTCCCTAGAAGGTCTTACCACCATAAGAGCCTACAAAGCGGAAGATATTTTGAAGCAAGAGTTCGATCGGCATCAAGATCTCTACACGTCAGCCCATTACATGTTAATATGTGCATCCAGAGCCTTTGGATTCATCTTGGATATTTTCTGTTGGAGTTTGATCGTATTGGTTGTGACTAGGTTCTTGTTTTTCGAAACTGGTAAGACTCTCTAACAATTCTGCAATCTACACATCAAGTTATGCTTAGGTTGAAATTATTAGTACTTATTTTTAACACGAGATAATGATTGGAATAGTAAGGGTGCGGGTATGACATAAAATTATTGAGCAAAACGATTAAGCGTGAACTATTGAAATATTACAACCCCAACGGGTCATTTTTACCTCCTTCCCTGCTATCTCCTAATCAGTGGCGCACCCAGGCTGCCCCTGCAAAACTTTATTTTAATGTAGGTATAAAAAAATGTGGAAAATTCAAGGCGTGGTACCCTGACGCCTCATTTTTTTTTTTAGATTTTCAGTCACAAGCCACAACCTATGTAGGGCCCCCCAAACATATTTTCTGGGTGCGCCACTGCTCCTAATTAAGCGCGTGCGCATCCCCTCTATATGGTTGCCGCCTACGCACTGTTTATACTTCCCTTGCGCGATCGGAATTTTCGTAACGCTGGAGAACTGTTACCCCCTCAGCAAAGAAGTTTCACTTTAATTCAATATTGTTTCAGATACCACCGCGGGCAGCGTCGGCTTGGTAATCTCGCAGATCTTCATGCTTACTGGCAACGTGCAGTGGGGCGTGCGCATGTGGGCGGACCTCGAAAACTATATGACGTCGGTGGAGCGGGCACTGGAGTATACCGAACTCCACCAGGAACGGAAACAGGGCATCAAACTCGATAACTGGCCGACCGAAGGTCGCATCAAGTACGACAACGTCAGTTTAACGTACGGCAAGGAAATGGTACTGAAACATTTGACGTTCGACGTGATGCCGGGACAGAAAATTGGCATTTGCGGACGCACCGGAGCTGGAAAATCTTCGATAATTTCCACTTTGTTTCGTTTATACGAAGTAGAAGGCACCATTTTGATTGACGGCGTCAACATCCAGCACTTATCCATTGAATATTTAAGGCAAAGCGTCGCCATTATCCCGCAGGATCCTGTTCTGTTCACTGGAACTGTAAGAAGTAACATCGATCCATATAATTTATACACTGATGAGGAAATTTGGAAACTCCTAGCCAAGGTGCACCTAAAGCAGAGCATACACACGCTGGAAATGCCGATAAACGAAAACGCTTCAGCTTTGAGTTCTGGCCAAAGACAACTGATATGTTTGGCCAGAGCCATCATCCGTAGAAACAGAATCGTCGTGTTGGATGAGGCAACAGCAAACATGGATCCGGAAACAGACGCGATGCTTCACGATGCCATTAAAGAGAATTTTGCTGGCTGTACGATATTTTCGATAGCACATCGATTGCACACGATCATCGATTCGGACAAGATCATGGTACTAGATAGGGGTACGATAAAAGAGTTCGATTCGCCCAGCAAGCTGTTGAGTGATAAGAGTGGGATGTTTTATAAGATGATCGAACAGGCTGGATTGACCGAGTATTTGAATAAGTATTGAAGGATTTTCAATTTTTTCGTTTCTTATTGGCTAATTATGGACTGAGTTTTGCTAATAATTTTGTGATTGTAGATTTTATTTCCCTTTTATTTGTAATTCGTCAAATAAATATAATTATTCTTTTAAAATGATGTAAAATTTAACGTAATATTTCCATTAATAAAAAATTGCGAGAGAAATACATTATATTTGTGAAGGAATATGAAGAAACAATACAAGCCTAAGTTTTGTCTAGTCAATACATACGATAAATTTGGAGAAATTATTTTATTTCAAAACAATTACTTAAAAAACTGATGTGCGTTAAAATGTGCGTCATATACACAAGGATTGTGGAAAGAGCAACAGGAGGTTCTTCCAGACTAGCAAAAATGAACCTTTTATGTTATTACTGAAACTCAAAAACTAAACTGGGCGAAGAATGAACGAACATGTAACAGTTTTTGATGGGAAGTTCCAAAAAATGAAATAAACTATCACTGAAATCCAATTAATTACATTCTTGGAAAAGTACACAATGATTACCTACCAGCAAAATGATAGACTTTCAGAAATTGATTTTTTTTCAGCTAAGTTCAAAAATATATTTTGATTAAATAGTAAATACATCAAGCAACATTAATTATTATTTAATTTTAATATTTCTGATTCACGTGAACTTACATTTTTCCGTTTTTCAGTACATTTTTTGTCTCTTGATCAGTACTTTAATTTTCAAGGGTCTGGCAACGCTGCAATCATTCGGTACGTGACAGCTCTGACTTATGGAGTGACTGGTAAACGTCTGGTTGCTACTTAGCAGGTACTTTCTATGCACTAGAGAATAGAAAGTACCTGCTAGAGGTAGCAACCAGACACTTACCAGTTGCTCCATAATTTGGCTCTAAAGGGGTTTGGTTTAGGGGTGGAATTTTCACAATGTGATATTTCTTCTTCGATAAGATTAACACACCTCTATAAATTGTGCCAAATTTCATGTTTCTAACTTATCTAGAAGCAGGTGAACCTTCTGAACACACAGACATATTTTGCCTTTTATCTATCTATGGACCGATTTCTCAATTATGGACTGACTGTTAAACGTCTGGTTGTTACCTAGCAGGTACTTTCTATGTTCTAGATAATAGAAAGTACCTGCTAGGTAACAACCAGACAGTTACCAGTTGGTCCATAATTTGGCCCCAAGTGTTTTACAGGCTGTGATTTTACCACCCAATGGGGTGCATAAATAATGGAGTGTAATTTAAGGTAATTTTTCGCGAGAATCAAATAATTTTGTGCTGGATTATGGTGATGTGTCAATTTTGTCATACTCCCCTGACTCCCCCACCATCAAATTCTGGGATACTCGAGCATCAAGAACATCTAATTTCTTGTGAGAACAGAACGAAAAACACCAAAATTAATTCACTAGCACAGCCTGAATCGCAAGTATTCCATCGTGGTCTGCGGGTGACGTAATCACTATAAGCTGACAGTGACGTCACTCGCAGGCCCAAAAATTGATGGAGAGGAGTTTGGGGAGTATGACACAATTGACACGTCACATAATCCAGCATAATTAGAGCTGCTTTCCAACTGGCTATTTTATACATGCAATCAAGCATTTACGTGCACGAACGCGTGAAAATTTTGTTCCATTTGCCAATTGGGCTTGGACGCAACTTGCCTCTCCCCGGCCCCCTGATGCACAACCTCTCAAGAAGTGGCTTCGAGCCAATGAAGTAGAAAGAGGTATGGAATATGGATAAGCTTTGCGTTATTCAATTGAATCCAGAATGAGATGACGCTAGTAAGGGCAAGAAATACATTGGATCTCCTATATTTCTCTTTCTAACCCTGAGTGAGATAGCGCTAATAAGGTAAGTAAGGGCAAGAAAATCTCATGGATCTCTCCTGTTCTCCCACTATAATGTTGGCCGCAAATTTATGTATTGAGTAGATAGGCGAAGGGCTATTCCAACCTCCTTACTACTTCATTGCTTCGAGCCCAAGTAAACAATTTGACATAAAAGACGGTTATTTTAATCTTCCATTTACGTCTGCGAGAACAGCCACTTCTAATAATTCCTCCATAAAAAATACCAATGGAAAATCAATAAAACTCAGGGGCGAGTTCAGAAATGCCACACCCAGTGTGAGTGTGACACCGGTGCGACGCCCTAGTTGTTCAAAAATGTTAGACGGTGCTATGGGCCCAATGGCCAATTGTCAATTCAGGCACACCCATAAAATCGCACTCGCGCCCTGTGCGTCATTTCTGAACTCGGCCCTGGTTCGGTTTATCCTTCTCGAGCAAAAAGATGACAACCCCACGTGGCCAGTTTTGTAACTTAAAATGAAAGATCACGTGAGCTTCTGTCAACAATGTCATCTATTACCTTAGAGCAGGTAATTTCCTAGATGGGAGGAGTAGGAACATCTTAGAGCAGGTAAAGGTAAAGGAGTAGTAACCAATGACCTGGATTTGGAAAATGAAGCCGTTTTTTTCCAGGTATTTTGGCCCACAAAAAATGGCGGTTATGGCATTTCAATGCTCTACCTGTATTTTGGTACCAAACACCTGCCAAAAACTTAGCTTCACTTTAGTTTCATAAGCAGAATGGCACGTTCCTACTCCTTATGTCCGTAGGACAGCGCTTTACCTGCTCTAAGAGGAACATGGAATTAGAATATGAAGCCGTTTTTTCCAGGTATTTTGTTTGAGATCCAAAATAATGGCGGTATAGCTAATTCAATGCTTTACCTGTCATTTGGTGTACAAACACCTGCTTAAAACTGGCTTCACTTTTAATTCCATAGCAGAATGGTGCGTCTTCTCCTTATGTCCGTAGAACAACACGCTTTACCTGCTGTAAGAATTAATTCGACCACCAACAAGGAAGCCCTAACGATAGGTATTCCTAAACTGATATTTCTCCATGTAAAAATGTCATTTTGCGAAATACTTATCGTGATGGTTCCCCTAAAATGGTTGGTGGAAACGGCCATAAGTCCCTAATAAATGACATTATGTTGGCAACACAAGCCTTTTCTACATAAAAAATTTGAAAGCATTGACAATTTTACATTGTATTGCCAACATAATGTCATTTTGACTTTTATCTTTAAAGAAAAAACAGACTTTAGAAAGGGATTAGAGGATTTATGTGTCTTCGTGTACGAGCACTATAAAATAGCATTTAAAATAACGGAGAGATATTGCTCGACAAAAAACGTCATGCGCTAATAACGCTTACGGTATTTTGACGTTTATTGGATGCGCGATTCGCTTTTTTACGTGTCTTCCGCTATTAGGGTTAGCGCTTCGGGTTATTTATGCTTACGTACCGTTGGGCGCTATTCAAAATACCGCACAATATTGACATGACAACTGACAACTCCTACTTCGATTTTTTTCTGGAGAGGTTAGGATTTTTGTTTATTATTTATTTCTTTGTGTTATGGGTTAGGGTTTTGGGTGCCAACTCAAGTTCTCACTTCTGAGTTTGTGTTTTGTGGCAGCTTGTTTGGTTTGTATTTATTATTTTAAACAAAATGTCCCTTGGAACTGGTGTTGGTGTTCCCTCGGTGGGTCCAATAAAGCCAAAAGACGGACCGAAGAGGTTAGAGATAGAGATATTGAGTTCCAGCCCTGGAATCTTGAAATGAATAACACTAACCTCTAACAGAATTACGGGTTGAAGTATGAATTGCTTGAGGGATTCTTAGAGCTTCTGCCAATCTATAGATATCTTGCCTCTCAAATCGAAAATTATTTTTCACATCTTCTTCCTGCATATTATCCAAATCAAATTCAATATTAATATTAGGGTTTTGAAGGACTTCTCCTTGGTTTTGCTCCACTCCTAGTATATGGTGCAAAATCACATACTCAATAGCATTCTCGTTAGCCCCAGCTAAGATCACCGCCTCAAGATCTTCCTCCATCATAAGGTATGTAGGTACCTCTATCACAGTTTTTCAATTAACTACTTTTTTTTGAAATCTGATTTCTGAATCAAAAATCAACAAACAAAATAAACAAAAAAGTCAGGTTATAGGTTGTATCGAAACATTTGACATTTTGACTTCTACATGAGCGCAGCGCTAATTATAGAAATAACGTGGCAATAAGTTTCATTTTCAGCTTTTATTTATAGCTTGACGTTATGTAATAGCGCGGCGTAAATATCGTAATGCATGCGGTATTGTGATTGGCAATATCTCTCTATTGTATTGTTAGCGGTACCGTATTAGCGTAGCGTCTGAGCGTCTGAGGCACGAAAACTTTCTATTAGGATTGATTATCCTTGATTCCTCGCGAAAAATTGCCTATTCTCCTCACTTTTATTCACACTTTGCTCTGCTCCCTTGACGGTCTGCTTTCCCAAGGATAATACACACTACTAAAGATTGTTTATCGGCCTTGTTTTTGGTAATCGCCGCTATATTGGTTTCACCATTTTCAACGTCATTAAGAAGTTGTCAGCTGTTTGCACTATAGAGGTTGTAGTTTAGAATTAAATTTATGAAGAAAATTATTATTTAAAACTAAGGCCCAGCTGTACAATCTCGGTTCAAAACAAAGTTTATAATTGAACTTGAGCTTTCCCATTTAAAATATATTGCTGTCAGCTATTAATCAAATTCTCTCAATTTTGACAGCAATGCATTTTAAATGGGAAAGTTCAAGTACCAGTCGAGTTCAGCTGAACTCTGGTTTTGAACCAAGATTGTACAACTGGGCCTAAGTGTGCATAAAGCAAAAGCCCGCAGAATCACCTGTGGTGCAAACAGCGTACGTCCATCCGAGAAAGGACATGCTGCCTACGTCACAACTGGTGATTTTCAGATCGGGTTGGGGTGGTGGAATTCGTTCCATACAGGACTTATGAGGATAGGCTATCCTTTAGTAGTAGTGTGTATCATCCTTGCTGCTCTCCGCTCTACTCTAATTACTCCTCTATTGGCCGTCAGCCTAACCAAGAACATATTGCGGTATATACCTTTGGTATATAACGGTTAAGCGCTTGAAAATCACTCCCTGAGGCCTTATTATTCTTGACTTTCTCTCGAGAGAAAATTTGACTGTGTTGACAATTAAACAGAGCATTTACTGTCAATAATGTCAAATTTTCTACCTAGGTAAAGTCAAGAAAAGCTGCTTACGATCAAGCACTTTTCTTACCTAACTTAAAGAATCTAACTTAGTTGCGCGTACGATCTATCACAACTAAGTTAGAATCTGCCTTCCCCCTTTTACCCTGCTAAGACACCCGGATTTTTAACTGAGATGATAACTTAGCTGACCAAAGTTGGCGCGAAGTACGCATTTTTTGAATTTTGACGTTTAATAATTTCTAAATTGAGGTTGTTTCTTTATTTTTATTTTGTTGAAAGTTGGTCGTTGGAACAGGAACTTTGAAAAGGTGTTTAGTTTAATGAAAGTTATTATTCATTATTGCCATTGCACGCGTCATGACACTTCTAGGTAGATAATTGTTCATTTTTAATGTGAAATAAACTGTGCTGTAGTACAAAAACAATTCAGTTTCAATTTCAATTGAAAATCTATATATATAAACGTAAAATTCACTCACTCACTGACTGACTGACTGACTGATTAAACACGAAATCTCGAAAACTACTAAACCAATCGAGATGAAATTTTGCAAACAGGTATGTAATAGGTTGGAGATGCTCACTAAGAAATAATATCAACATGGCCTCAAGCAATCGCCTTAAATAACCAAAAATAAGAAACGGTGTGGTGCGGGAGTGCGGGGAAAAAAGTGTAAACAGAAACAGACGACGTGTCAGCTGTCAAATTCAGAAATATGACAAGCAGAATCAAATTCATAGCGATTTCCATTTGCAGAATCAGTGCAAAAAAAAATTTGTTTTTGTCGTTATATTTTCATGCTTTCACCAGAAACGAATCGGAACCGATTCTGAACAAATTCCACCGGTCCCAGGCTAAGCTAACTTCAAATTTGAGACATGACATTCGCAATTCGTTCACGTATTCGACAGTCTGGAGCAAGGTTTTGTTCGGTTCCAAAACTGTTCGCGATAAAATAGGAACCTGAACCCATTCACAAGTTGGGTTCGGGTTGCTCACTCCGAGTTACTCCGATCGCACTCCAGCCGTTATCTGATAAGCTAAAAGGTAATACCCGAACGGTTGAAGTGTGAACGGAATCACTCGGAGTGCACGGAGTGAGCAAGCCGAACCCAGCTATAACTGGGCATGCGCTCTACGATAGTCCTCAATTAGTTCCGGACTGGTTCGGAATCGGTTCAAAATATGATCCGCGAATAAAGCTATTTAGAAGCGAGTGGCACTTCAAAAAAATTTAACGTCAGCTGTCAAAAAATATGCTGCAAAAATAAGAGTTACATGACCATATGTCTGACGCAACTATCCCCTTAGCTCTTTGAAAGAAGATTACCTAATGCTACCTACACCCTACACCTACAAAATTTGTATAGGGCGTGCGAAGCAGCGGGCAACAGAGCTAGTAAATTAATAAAAACAACAAACTGAACCTGTAACTCTCGTCGTAACTAGAACCCGAACTAGAAATACGTGACGTGAGTCGTAACTTGATAGGCAGCTGATCAGCCTATATGAATTGCGCGTGCGCGTACAATCAAACAACTTAGATGCTAAACTAATTTTAACTTAGGTAAGAAAAGTGCTTGATCGTAAGCTACAGTGACTCAATTACCCACAGTGGCGACAATTGCTGTCTTATTTTTGATTGGTTCTAAAATCCCATATATTTATATTGAGAACGCGGCCATCTTGTTCCCATCTATTGCTTATTTCAAATATGAATATATGGGATTTGGGTGAACATCCATCATAAAACATGGAAACAACGTATTTGATGGACCTAATAATAGTCATCAAATACGTCGATTTCAATTTTTTATGAAAGATGTCCATTTAAAACCTATAAATTCATATTTAAAAGTAACATGAGGTTGGGAACAAAATGGCGGCGGGACCTCTATTGTCGCCACTGTATGTAAAGGTTTATTTAGCCACTGTATCGTAAGCAGCTGCCTCTGGTCTTGAGTCTTGACAATGACCACATGACTAGGTAGCGTTCATCAGGATTTTGTTTTGTTAATTGGCGTTTCCGATTGATGGATATTTAAATGCTAATGGTGCACTAAAAACAAAACAGAACTAATAGTCTGGGAGTTAACGACATATTTCATTGTACCATTTCCGCAAGCTTCATTCTTTTTGTATGTGTTATGCGTGTAGTATATGATAGTGATATGATCGTCTGCCGGCGCACCAACACGACAGGGGGTTACAGAAGGGTTACACTTACAGCAAAAAATGAACGAAAAAACCTTATAGCCGCATAAGCGAAACTTATTGTACATATTGGTAGAAACTTAGAAAGCTCAGAAAATATGGTCTGCCACCTAAATTCCACGACAAAAGTCGTCTGCCACCCACATAAGTGAAAAATTTTTAAAAAAAAATATACGGCTGTGGGTGGCAGACGACTTTTGTTGTGGAATTTAGGTGGCAGACCATATTTTCTGAGCTTTCCATGTTTCTACCAATATGTACAATAAGTTTCGCTTATGCGGCTTTAAGTTTTTTTCGTTCATTTTTTGCTGTAATTGTAACCCTCCTGTAACTCCCTGTCGTGTTGGTGCGCCGGCAGACGTTCATATTACTATCATATACTACACGCATAACACATACAAAAAAAATGAAGCTTGCGAAAATGGTACAATAAAATATGTCGTTAACTCCCGGACTATAATGCGACAAAAAAAAACGCTTTTTGAAATGTTTTTATTCAGGTTAGGCAAGGAACTAAATTAGAAAACTTATCTATCTTCTAAACTGTTTTTTGAATTTTTCAAAATGATAATCGTCTGTAGCTTTTTCGTCTTTTTTCTTTGGATGTTCTGTTTCAAGTTTTACTTTCTTCTTGGCCACCTCCTTGGGATCAATATTAAACCTATTGTGTTGTACAAAGTTCACTGCCATATTTGTAGGGACAAATTGCGAAGGGCCATCTTTTCTGTTCTGTTTTTCCCATAGCAATCTCAATTTGGCCTCTTCAGTGGCTTCAATGTTCTTTATTTTCGCCTCAATGCCTAAGTCCACTTCTGGGATGCCACTCAGCATTTGATTGGACAACATTTCTTCTGACCTCTTAGCAGAAGACTCTCTCAAGTGTTCTGGAACTGCTTGCAAGGCAGCTTCTTCTGGACTCAAATAATTCGATTTTTTTATAAATTTTACAGTTTCTGGTTCATTTTCAGGTTTGCTTTTTCTTTTTGACAATTCCTCTTCGATATACTTCATCATTTCCTCATCCTCGTCTCTTTTATTAGTTTCCACAGAGAATTGTGTCCCTATTCCTGTGTCGTAAGCATCGTCTACTTTTTTTATTTTGCCTGATTTTAAGGCCTGCATGTTTACCATGCCTCCAATTTCGATTCCGAATGGATCTTTCTGAAAATTAAACTCGTCAAGATATCTACTATAAACTAGGTGTACAGTATATTATACCGTTGTTGCTTCATCCTGGGCAGAAACTTTTGTACCCAATGCCAATCCTATTACACTTACACCGTTAGGCCTTTTTCTTAAGCTCTGAATTTCCTTCGCTTCTTCCAGTTTGTTTCTGCAAATTTGTATACTTAATATTTAACCCATAAAAGGTGTACAATGCGAACTTACATTATTTCATCTGTTTCCTCTTGGTCACTACCGTCATTCTTAATTTTCTGCCTAATGTTTCTGTTTTTCTTTGTCTTAAATTTAATTTTTGTTTCATTTTCTACTTCCGGATAAGACATAATTGAATACAACTATTTTATTCGCACTACTATAGACTTTGTGACTTTGTTTTACTACTAAACTATTAATTTAGTTGAGTATAGTATTTTTAGTTATCTTAGCAGAAATGCCACAAATCAAAACAAAAACAAGCTAGTGTTTTTAGAGATGTGCAAGTGCAATGAAAATGTACTTCTATCTGTTTCTTTAACAGGCGGAGAGAAAAAGACGGTAATGGTAATACACTCAGTGGCAGAGAACCGAAAGAAAACGCTATTCACACAGCTGACTGAAAAATATTCCGGTCAATCCCATCGCAAAAAGTTGCCCACCGGACCGGCAAATCACCTACTGCGCCTCTTGTTTTGTTTTGTAGTAAACAGTTTCATTCATCATCCGTTTGTTTTGACACATCATTTCAAAATCAAATTATTTTTTCAAATTTCAGTTCAAAAACACAAAAAAATGTCCAACGGCAACACAAACAAATACATCCAAGTAGCGGGAAGCACCGAAGGAATCACCAGCAGCGACCAAGTGGTCCAGGACATATTGAACACCTTCACAGATTTGAGGCACTATTCCAGAGAAGTGGAAAACCAACTGAAATCAGCCGAAAACCAATCGGTAAAAGTTTACATAAAAGAAAGCGAAAACATTAGCAGTTTGCATACGCAAATTACAGCTTGCGACAATATATTAGAACGCATGGAGAATATGCTTTTGACATTCCAAAACGATCTGGGAAGTATGGCAACCGAAATCCTCACTTTACAACGGAAATCGATTTCAATGAGTCAAGAACTAACCAACAGACAAGCGATCAGGGGCCAACTGAGTCAATTCATTGACGATATCGGAGTGCCAGAGACTCTTATTGTAGCCATAATGGACTCGCCAGTAACAGACAAAACATTCCTAACTCAGTTGCAGCTTCTGAGCCACAAAATTGGGTTCATCAAAGAGCAAAGTTTCAAAGACACAAAATCCTGCCAGGATGTCAAAGACGTTTTGCAAAAGCTCCAAATTAAAGCCATGTCTAAAATAAGAGTTTATTTGCTAGAGCAAATTTCGAAATTTAGAAAACCTATGACCAACTATCAAATTCCACAAAATGCCTTATTAAAATACAAAGGACATTATGAGTTTTTACTAAAAAACGAACGCAATACTGCTGAAGAAATTTGCAATGAATATGTTGATACTATGAGCAAAATTTACTTTTCCTATTTCAAGTCTTACGAAGGTAGGATAATGAAACTTTTATATGAAGAGAGTACCTCTAAGGACGATTTGATGGGTATCGAGGATACGGCCACTAGAAGTTTATTTAACAAGAGTTTGAAACATAAAGCTACAGTGTTTACTATTGGCAGTAGAGGAGACGTATTGGCACAGCAATTGGAGGCCCCAATTATTGTGCCTCATACAGAAGCAAAAAATAAAGTAAGTAGTGTTTTCATATATTTAAGACAATTCATTGTGTTTGAAATAGCCTCACAATACACCACTTTCAGAGCCGGCACAAGTACATTTAGAAAGTACTTGAACTACAAATATGAGGCAAATATATTCAATAGATTTACTTGAAGTACTTACAAGTACAAGTTTTTTAAAATTATATTTTGATTGTCAAGTAGGTAAACTTGAATTTCATCAAGGAATTTACTTCAACTAAAAACATTGAGCTTCAAGCAAAGTGCCATTACTATTATTTGAAGTATATTTTAGTACTTGAGGAGGTATGTAAAATACTTCAAATCAATTACTTGAAGTAATTTTGGTACTTCAAATATTTAAAATCTAGAGCAAAATCTCTTCAAAATAAGACAATTCTTAGTAATTTTTCTAGTTATTCACAATATAATTCGATCTTCATTCTATTCTGGGCCTGTATTCTCGTCACCGCAAAACAGCCTTTCCTCAAGAGAACGATTGCTCTGTATTTGTCACCCATATTGTTCTTTCCATAATACTGACAGAGACAGAACAATCGTTCTCTTGAGAGAACGCTGTTCCCTGGTTACAAGAATACGGGCCCTGGTATCTTATCCGAGCTTTATATTATTTATTACTTATAAAATAATGAAAGCACTACTAAGGTGCTTTAGTACTTAGCAATTTTTCATATTATTCGTTATAAGGTGTGCCGATTTGAATAAAATTTTGTATGTTTCAGTCTCAGCTCTAAAAATCGAGCAGGGCATGATTCCAAATAAAATAGGTACAGGGCATTTGATTATATACAAGCCCATACCTACCTACAGCCTTTACTATTTAAAGTGCAGTTAGAAATAATTTTCCAGATCTTCGTTGGGTATTTGAGCAAATAGAAAAAAAAATTATACATATTATTGGAAAAAGAAATAAATTCTCTATAAATCCGTACAAAATTGAGCTTGATAACTCAAATAGTTTTTAAGCAATTAAGTCCCAACATTAGTTTTTAGAAGTACAGGGCGATCTATTATAAATACCATTCCCTCCTAACTTCTCCATTTGACCATTTTCACAAATGTGTCGAATACAAAAGTTTTGAAAAATTGACAAAAGTTTTTAACAGTCAAGTTTTAAGCATAGGGTAGGTCAAAAAAGTGTAGCAATGCAAATTTATATTCTTTTAAATGGAACGTCATGTATATTGTGCGCTTATTAGTTAGTCCCAAGATTAGTCCCCTTCAAACTGATTTCAATGATACATGGTGTGATATGTCTATCTTCAATAGTTATAGGGTAAAACTCGTGTTAAACCTATTTATGAAAATATTGGTAGCAGGAATGAAATCAAAAATTATAGACCTTTTTCTAATATATCTGTTACTCCTAAAATAATGGAGAGCTAGTATCACAAAATTCTTGGAACTGAATTTCACTCATTTAATAATTCCTATTCAACATGGATTTTTGCAAAGGGTAAACTACCATCCCAGAATTTGAACAAACAATTCCTCAAAGGGGAATTTCTCACCATAATTCCTCAAAATTCTCGCAAATTCCTCCAATTCCCCACAAATTCCTCCAAAGACCCCACCACGAACTTCTCTAAATACCTCACAAATTTCTCTAAATTCCCTGCAAATTCCTTCAAGTTCTCACAAATTCCTCCAAACTCCTCTCAAATGTCCTACAAATGTCTCTTACAAGTGGAAAACATGAAAAAATCTTGGAAATCAACCTACAAAAACTGAATTAGTTGAAAATACAGTCTCACACATTTCAAAGTTTTCCTGGAAAACTAGTGAAGGGAAAATTTTAAAACTTTTTGCATGTAAAGAGGAAGGTGAGAAGCTCATTTTCCCATAATTTCAAATTTTTCCAATAGAAAATTACAACATGAGGAATCTTGGAAATCAACCTACAATAACTGAATTAATTGAAAATACAGTCTCACACATTTCAAAGTTTTCCTGGAAAACTAGTGAAGAGAAAATTTTGAAGCTTTTTGCATGTGAAGAGTAGAAAGGTTGAAGGCTCATTTTCCCAAAATTTCAAATTTTTCCAGTAGAAAATTACAACATGAGGAATCTTGGAAATCAACCTACAATAACTGAATTAGTTGAAAATACAGTCTCAAATATTTCAAAGTTTTCCTGGAAAACTAGTGAAGGCAAAATTTTGAAACTTTTTGTATGTGAAGAGGATGGTGAAAAGCTCATTTTCCCAAAATTTCAAATTTTTCCAGTAAAAAATTGCAACATGAAAAATCTTGGAAATTAACCTACAATAACTGAATTAATTGAAAATACAGTCTCACACATTTCAAAGTTTTCCTGGAAAACTAGTGAAGAGAAAATTTTGAAGCTTTTTGCATGTGAAGAGTAGAAAGGTTGAAGGCTCATTTTCCCAAAATTTCAAATTTTTTTAGTAGAAAATAACAACATGAGAAATATTGGTAATCAAACTACAAAAACTGAATTAATTGAAAATACAGTCCCACATATTTCAAAGCTTTCCTGGAAAACTAGTGGAGGAAAAATTTTGAAACTTTTTTTAATGTAAAGGGGAAGGTTAGAAGCTCATTTTCCCAAAATTACAAATTTTTCCAGTAGAAAATTACAACATGAGGAATCTTGGAAATCAACATACAATAACTGGATTAATTGAAAATACAGTCCCACATATTTCAAAGTTTTCCTGGAAAACTAGTGAAGGGAAAATTTTGAAACTTTTTGTAAGTGAAGAGGAAGGTGAGAAGCTCATTTTCCCAAAATTTCAAATTTTTCCAGTAAAAAATTGCAACATGAAAAATCTTGGAAATTAACCTACAATAACTGAATTAATTGAAAATACAGTCTCACACATTTCAAAGTTTTCCTGGAAAACTAGTGAAGAGAAAATTTTGAAGCTTTTTGCATGTGAAGAGTAGAAAGGTTGAAGGCTCATTTTCCCAAAATTTCAAATTTTTTTAGTAGAAAATAACAACATGAGAAATATTGGTAATCAAACTACAAAAACTGAATTAATTGAAAATACAGTCCCACATATTTCAAAGCTTTCCTGGAAAACTAGTGGAGGAAAAATTTTGAAACTTTTTTTAATGTAAAGAGGAAGGTTAGAAGCTCATTTTCCCAAAATTACAAATTTTTCCAGTAGAAAATTACAACATGAGGAATCTTGGAAATCAACATACAATAACTGGATTAATTGAAAATACAGTCCCACATATTTCAAAGTTTTCCTGGAAAACTAGTGAAGGGAAAATTTTGAAACTTTTCACATGTAAAGAGGAAAGTGAGAAGCTCATATTTCTGAAATTTCAAATTTTTCTAGTGGAAAATAACAACATAAGAAATATTGGAAATCAACCTACAAAAACTGAATTAGTTGAAAATACAGTCTCAAATATTTCAAAGTTTTCTTGGAAAACTAGTGAAGAGAAAATTTTGAAACTTTTTGCATGTAAAGAGGAAGGTGAGAAGCTCATTTTCCCATAATTTCAAATTTTTCCAGTAGAAAATTACAACATGAGGAATCTTGAAAATCAACCTACAATAACTGGATTAATTGAAAATACAGTCCCACATATTTCAAAGTTTTCCTGGAAAACTAGTGAAGGGAAAATTTTGAAACTTTTCACATGTAAAGAGGAAAGTGAGAAGCTCATATTTCTGAAATTTCAAATTTTTCTAGTGGAAAATAACAACATAAGAAATATTGGAAATCAACCTACAAAAACTGAATTAGTTGAAAATACAGTCTCAAATATTTCAAAGTTTTCCTGGAAAACTAGTGAAGAGAAAATTTTGAAACTTTTTGCATGTAAAGAGGAAGGTGAGAAGCTCATTTTCCCATAATTTCAAATTTTTCCAGTAGAAAATTACAACATGAGGAATCTTGAAAATCAACCTACAATAACTGGATTAATTGAAAATACAGTCCCACATATTTCAAAGTTTTCCTGGAAAACTAGTGAAGGGAAAATTTTGAAACTTTTCACATGTAAAGAGGAAAGTGAGAAGCTCATATTTCTGAAATTTCAAATTTTTCTAGTGGAAAATAACAACATAAGAAATATTGGAAATCAACCTACAAAAACTGAATTAGTTGAAAATACAGTCTCAAATATTTCAAAGTTTTCCTGGAAAACTAGTGAAGAGAAAATTTTGAAACTTTTTGCATGTAAAGAGGAAGGTGAGAAGCTCATTTTCCCATAATTTCAAATTTTTCCAGTAGAAAATTACAACATGAGGAATCTTGAAAATCAACCTACAATAACTGGATTAATTGAAAATACAGTCCCACATATTTCAAAGTTTTCCTGGAAAACTAGTGAAGGGAAAATTTTGAAACTTTTCACATGTAAAGAGGAAAGTGAGAAGCTCATATTTCTGAAATTTCAAATTTTTCTAGTGGAAAATAACAACATAAGAAATATTGGAAATCAACCTACAAAAACTGAATTAGTTGAAAATACAGTCTCAAATATTTCAAAGTTTTCCTGGAAAACTAGTGAAGGGAAAATTTTGAAACTTTTTGTAAGTGAAGAGGAAGGTGAGAAGCTCATTTTCCCAAAATTTCAAATTTTTCCAGTAAAAAATTGCAGCATGAAAAATCTTGGAAATTAACCTACAATAACTGAATTAATTGAAAATACAGTCTCACACATTTCAAAGTTTTCCTGGAAAACTAGTGAAGAGAAAATTTTGAAGCTTTTTGCATGTGAAGAGTAGAAAGGTTGAAGGCTCATTTTCCCAAAATTTCAAATTTTTTTAGTAGAAAATAACAACATGAGAAATATTGGTAATCAAACTACAAAAACTGAATTAATTGAAAATACAGTCCCACATATTTCAAAGCTTTCCTGGAAAACTAGTGGAGGAAAAATTTTGAAACTTTTTTTAATGTAAAGGGGAAGGTTAGAAGCTCATTTTCCCAAAATTACAAATTTTTCCAGTAGAAAATTACAACATGAGGAATCTTGGAAATCAACATACAATAACTGGATTAATTGAAAATACAGTCCCACATATTTCAAAGTTTTCCTGGAAAACTAGTGAAGGGAAAATTTTGAAACTTTTTGTAAGTGAAGAGGAAGGTGAGAAGCTCATTTTCCCAAAATTTCAAATTTTTCCAGTAAAAAATTGCAACATGAAAAATCTTGGAAATTAACCTACAATAACTGAATTAATTGAAAATACAGTCTCACACATTTCAAAGTTTTCCTGGAAAACTAGTGAAGAGAAAATTTTGAAGCTTTTTGCATGTGAAGAGTAGAAAGGTTGAAGGCTCATTTTCCCAAAATTTCAAATTTTTTTAGTAGAAAATAACAACATGAGAAATATTGGTAATCAAACTACAAAAACTGAATTAATTGAAAATACAGTCCCACATATTTCAAAGCTTTCCTGGAAAACTAGTGGAGGAAAAATTTTGAAACTTTTTTTAATGTAAAGAGGAAGGTTAGAAGCTCATTTTCCCAAAATTACAAATTTTTCCAGTAGAAAATTACAACATGAGGAATCTTGGAAATCAACATACAATAACTGGATTAATTGAAAATACAGTCCCACATATTTCAAAGTTTTCCTGGAAAACTAGTGAAGGGAAAATTTTGAAACTTTTCACATGTAAAGAGGAAAGTGAGAAGCTCATATTTCTGAAATTTCAAATTTTTCTAGTGGAAAATAACAACATAAGAAATATTGGAAATCAACCTACAAAAACTGAATTAGTTGAAAATACAGTCTCAAATATTTCAAAGTTTTCTTGGAAAACTAGTGAAGAGAAAATTTTGAAACTTTTTGCATGTAAAGAGGAAGGTGAGAAGCTCATTTTCCCATAATTTCAAATTTTTCCAGTAGAAAATTACAACATGAGGAATCTTGAAAATCAACCTACAATAACTGGATTAATTGAAAATACAGTCCCACATATTTCAAAGTTTTCCTGGAAAACTAGTGAAGGGAAAATTTTGAAACTTTTCACATGTAAAGAGGAAAGTGAGAAGCTCATATTTCTGAAATTTCAAATTTTTCTAGTGGAAAATAACAACATAAGAAATATTGGAAATCAACCTACAAAAACTGAATTAGTTGAAAATACAGTCTCAAATATTTCAAAGTTTTCCTGGAAAACTAGTGAAGAGAAAATTTTGAAACTTTTTGCATGTAAAGAGGAAGGTGAGAAGCTCATTTTCCCATAATTTCAAATTTTTCCAGTAGAAAATTACAACATGAGGAATCTTGAAAATCAACCTACAATAACTGGATTAATTGAAAATACAGTCCCACATATTTCAAAGTTTTCCTGGAAAACTAGTGAAGGGAAAATTTTGAAACTTTTCACATGTAAAGAGGAAAGTGAGAAGCTCATATTTCTGAAATTTCAAATTTTTCTAGTGGAAAATAACAACATAAGAAATATTGGAAATCAACCTACAAAAACTGAATTAGTTGAAAATACAGTCTCAAATATTTCAAAGTTTTCCTGGAAAACTAGTGAAGAGAAAATTTTGAAACTTTTTGCATGTAAAGAGGAAGGTGAGAAGCTCATTTTCCCATAATTTCAAATTTTTCCAGTAGAAAATTACAACATGAGGAATCTTGAAAATCAACCTACAATAACTGGATTAATTGAAAATACAGTCCCACATATTTCAAAGTTTTCCTGGAAAACTAGTGAAGGGAAAATTTTGAAACTTTTCACATGTAAAGAGGAAAGTGAGAAGCTCATATTTCTGAAATTTCAAATTTTTCTAGTGGAAAATAACAACATAAGAAATATTGGAAATCAACCTACAAAAACTGAATTAGTTGAAAATACAGTCTCAAATATTTCAAAGTTTTCCTGGAAAACTAGTGAAGGGAAAATTTTGAAACTTTTTGTAAGTGAAGAGGAAGGTGAGAAGCTCATTTTCCCAAAATTTCAAATTTTTCCAGTAAAAAATTGCAGCATGAAAAATCTTGGAAATTAACCTACAATAACTGAATTAATTGAAAATACAGTCTCACACATTTCAAAGTTTTCCTGGAAAACTAGTGAAGAGAAAATTTTGAAGCTTTTTGCATGTGAAGAGTAGAAAGGTTGAAGGCTCATTTTCCCAAAATTTCAAATTTTTTTAGTAGAAAATAACAACATGAGAAATATTGGTAATCAAACTACAAAAACTGAATTAATTGAAAATACAGTCCCACATATTTCAAAGCTTTCCTGGAAAACTAGTGGAGGAAAAATTTTGAAACTTTTTTTAATGTAAAGAGGAAGGTTAGAAGCTCATTTTCCCAAAATTACAAATTTTTCCAGTAGAAAATTACAACATGAGGAATCTTGGAAATCAACATACAATAACTGGATTAATTGAAAATACAGTCCCACATATTTCAAAGTTTTCCTGGAAAACTAGTGAAGGGAAAATTTTGAAACTTTTCACATGTAAAGAGGAAAGTGAGAAGCTCATATTTCTGAAATTTCAAATTTTTCTAGTGGAAAATAACAACATAAGAAATATTGGAAATCAACCTACAAAAACTGAATTAGTTGAAAATACAGTCTCAAATATTTCAAAGTTTTCCTGGAAAACTAGTGAAGAGAAAATTTTGAAACTTTTTGCATGTAAAGAGGAAGGTGAGAAGCTCATTTTCCCAGAATTTCAAATTTTTCCAATAGAAAATCACAACATGAGGAATTTTGGAATTCAACCTGCAATAACTGAATTAATTGAAAATACAATCTCACACATTTCAAAGTTTTCCTGGAAAACTAGTGAAGGGAAAATTTTGAAACTTTTTGCATGTAAAGAAGAAGGTGAGAAGCTCATATTTCTGAAATTTCAAATGTTTTCAATAGAAAACAGCAACATGAAGAATCTTGGAAATCAATCTACAAAAACTGAATTATTTGAAAATACAGTCTAAAACATTTCAAAGTTTTCCTGGGACACTACTGAAGGCAAAAATTTGAAGCTTTTTGCATGTGAAGAGTAGAATGGTTGAAGGCTCATTTTCCCAAAATTTCAAATTTTTTTAGTAGAAAATAACAACATGAGGCATATTGGAAATCAAACTACAATAACTGAAGTAATTGAAGATACAGTGTCACACATTTCAAAGTTTTTCTGGAAAACTAGTGAAGGGAAAATTTTAAAACTTTTTGCATGTAAAGAGGAAGGTTAGAAGCTCATTTTCCTAAAATTTCAATTTTTTTTCCAGTGTAAAACAGCAACATGAAGAATCTTGGCAATCAACCTACAAAAACTGAATTATTTGAAAATACAGTCTCAAACATTTTAAAGTTTTCCTAGAAAACTAGTGAAGGGAAAATATTGAAACTTTTTGCATTGTAAAGAGGAGGTGAGAAACTCATTTTTCCAAAATTTCAAATTTTTCTAGTGGAAAATAACAACATGAAGAATCTTGGAAATCAACCTGTCAAAAACTGAACTAGTTGATAATTCCGTCTCACACATTTCAAATTTTTCCTGGAAAACTAGTGAAGGGAAAATTTTGAAACTTTTTGCATGTAAAGAGGAAGGGAAGAAGCTTATTTTCCCAAAATTTCAAATTTTTCTAGTGGAAAATAACAACATGAAAAATCTTGGAAATCAACTTACAAAAACTGAAATAATTGTCGTCCGTGAAAAAATCCCGGAACGTGAAAATATCCTAGATTTGAAACTAGATATTTTTTTCAGTATTCGTATGAAGCCACATTCAGAAGCATTCAGTACGCCCTTGTGGATAACGCTTGCCGAGAGTACCTGTTTGCCAGCGAATATTTTATGGTTCAGAATCAAGCCGCGATGCAACTATTTAACAAAATTATGGGAAGGACGCTGTTATTGTTACTGGTAAGAAATATATCCACTTTATTGTTGCCATGCTGACTCACATTTCCAGAAAAATATTGAACAATACATGTCCACTTGTTACGATTCCATTGCCATCTTTCTGTGTTTCCACTTGGTACTCCGTTACAAGATTATGTGTCACAAACGATGCGTGCCAGCGCTGGACGAGTACTGGGACCATTTAGAGCAAATCCTCTTGCCTAGATTTGAACGTATCATCAAAAACAACACTAAAAGCGTCAGAGATTGTGACGTGTCCAAATTTAATTTGGAAAAAGGTCCACATTATGTGAGTATATTTTAAACTGGATCAGTTCAGTCCCAAACCAGTTTATAAATATTAAAATTTTGTTAGAAAATGAGCTAAACTGACCAAAATTCATATTCTAGATCGCAAGAAGATATGCCGAATTCAGCGCTGCCATAGTTAGCATAAGCGAAAATTTCCCCAACCAAATGATTGCAAAACTACTAGCAGAACTCCAAGAAGAAGTGGATATGTTCATTTTCCGTATGGCTGGTGCATTTTCTGACCGAAAAGACCAACTGATTTTCCTCATCAACAATTACGACATGATTTTGAGCATCATTATGGAACGCACTCGGGACAATTGTAAAGAAGCGGAAACTTTCAAGTCCCGATTGGCAGCGAAAAGTGGGGAGTACGCTGAACAGATTTTATTTCCGCACTTTGGCGAAATGATTCAATATGTCAAAGAGAGCGAACATTATTTCGAAACTTCCAAACTGAGCGAGTTGAAGCAAATGGAAAGCAAATCTATGGATATAGTGCAAAACTTTTCACTGAATTGGAAAAAATCTTTGGAGGACTTGAACCGAGAAGTGCTTTTATCGTTTCCCAATTTAGTAACTGGAGCTAGTTTGTTGCAATTGGCTTTGACGCAATTGGTACAGTATTATCACAGGTTCCATAAATTGTTGCCGCCAAATGTGAGATCTCAATTGGTTAATATCCATCATATTATGGTGGAAATGAAAAAGTATAAAACCAATTTCTAATTTGTTTGTTAACTTTTATTGAAACTAAATTTGTTGATGAATATATTATTTTTTATTTTTCGAAACGTTTATTGGTGTTGGATACACAGTGTTTTGTTATAACAATAACCATTCAGCCAAGGGAATTGAGTTGTTGGAAGAAGAGGGAATCTGTAATAATTATTAGTTGATAATAGGTGTCTAGAAGTCGATTGAGGAATAAACCCTTTCATATTTTTGTGGCTTAAAAAATACCAAGGGAATGATACAATGATAAAGGTAATATATCTTCGTACTCTAGATTCTATGGTTTGTAACTAATAGATTTCCAGTTATTTGAAAATAAAACTTCAAAAAAAGTAAATTATTAAAAAAGAATTTTAATACCACACACTATTTTTTGTTGGCAACAATAGTATGTCTACGCAATCACAATTTGTCATAATTACTAGTGCAAAAATACTATTACTAGTTTTATATATTTTTTTTAATTTCAATTATTCAATATTCTTTGTTTTCTTTATCATTCATTCATTGATCGAATCAGAATAATTATTAATATTATAGACAATATCATATTAATGTATTATTATTTTTTTAATATGGGTAGGTGCCTACACTATATAAATCAAAATAAAATAGTATGTCATAATAATAGAATATTGATATGGCTAATTTAATAATAAATATACACAAACATTTTTTTTTAAAGCTTACAAAAAATTAGTATTTACAATAATAATAAAATTTGGGCTAGTTTCTCAATAGCAAGTTATTCCCGAGTTCAGCATAACACCAGGGTAAACATAGCAACTGAAGTTGAAACCAACCTGAAGGTGACTCGCTATTGAGAAACCGGCCCTAAGGAATCTTTGTCAAAATGGCACCGTTAAGAAAAAAAGCAATCTAACATAAGTTGAGCAAATAAAGCTTAAAGTAAATTAAGAAATAATGAGCCAAAGCTGAAAAATATTCACAACGATTTTAAGAAATCATACATTATCGGTACTTGAAAGTATTCCTATCATTTCCACACGCGCTCGCAAATTATTATCGAGAAATTAGGCACAGTCTCGTGACATTTATACAAATACAGCTCTAAAATAAATGCTTACATCCCTAAGAAGATTTTTTTTGTGTGTGTATCATCTGTATTACTAGAATTGCTGCTCGGTCGTCATTCCTAGCAACACAGAATATAGTCTGTCACAATCGATAACAATGTTAAAATATATTGGAATCAGCCCCTGCTCTCTCCATTAATTATTATAATAATCGCCGGTACCAGCTATTTTCTGAATGTTATAGAAAATTGTCCATAAACACCTGAACTTATATTTTAATAAATCATTCTAGAAACTTGTAACATAAATACTATTGTGTTGGTTTTAGTCCTTTCACAGCTTGTTCTCATATATGTCAATTATGTCGGTATTTTTTAAAATTGAATATCTAGCGGCTTATGTAATAGTTATTTATATTACTAGTACGGTATGAGCTTCATTACAGTAACGAGTGGGGAATATTGCCAAGACGAGGTCGTAGACCGAGTCGAAGTAATCACACGAGTGGTGTAATGAGCGTTACCGTACGTGTGATATACAACATTTTATGTACGACCCAGATTTTTTTCATATATTCGAAATGGTTTTAATTTTTCCCAAAAGATTATATTTATAATTTTTTCAATAAAAATGAGCTCTCATTACATCACTGAGTGATGTAATGAGCTCATTACATCACTAAGCACGATAATGCAACTTATTACGTAACTCAAATAGACTAAAATGAGTTACGTAATAAGCTCTTACAGTGTAGGTCGTACATAAATATATTTTTAATACGTGAAGGCCAGTGGCGTAGCTAAGCGTCGGCGACGTCGGCGGCTGCCGACGGCCTCGCGCCCTAAGGAGCCTCGCAAAAAATAGGTTACCGAACCCTAAAAATTGGCACTTTTTGATTTCCCAAAATAAAACGCAGAGAACAAATAAACTTAATTCTATACGAAACTTCTAAATCTCATAGAATTCACTGAAAATTATTATTTCTACTGCAAATTAACCTAGAAATCTCAAATCATATGGTTTTTATTTTTTCGGTAGATTCTCGGTATTTCGATAAACCGGTAATTGTAACACTGTTCTTATCACGTATTGTTGGTTAATTAAATTATTTAGCACTTTTCTCAACTGGTAGCCGAACCTCCAACCGAGACATACGTACAGTATTTCGCTATATTGTACAGGGTGTTTCCTCATATTTTGACCCCTAACTACAGCTCTAGCTATACGAGGTGGAAAAAAACTTTAGGTATGAAAGTTATAGGGTCGTTTTCTCAATAGCAAGTCATCCCCGGGTTGAGGATAACTCCAGGGTAAACATAGCAACTGGACACGCTTACCCTGGAGTTAAAACCAACCCGGAGGTGACTGGTGACTCGCTATTGAGAAACCAGCTCGTAGGTTTTTATTTCTATTATCTTTTGCGAATGTCAAAACAGGCAAATGACAGGTGCCAACTGTCGCAATGACAAACACTTGCATTTTTCAAATGGAACACCCTGAATATTTTTGGCTAGAATGATAGCTTTTTTTCTTCTGATTCAGTGGCGGCTCATGACTATTTCAAGTGAGGAGGCTAATTACAGTATAGGATTTCATGAAATTCCTCGGAATTCCACTAAGATTTCAATTTCAAAATTCCATATATTTTTTTTAACTTGACTTAAATTCATCAAAATTTTACCACTGAAATATCCTGGAATTCCACAAAATTTTCATAAAATTTTTTTGGAATTTCATGTAATTTCTTAAAAATGTCTCGGAATTCACTAAAATTTTATGAGAATATCTACGTTCATAACCGAAATTTTCTCGAAAGTCCAATGAAACTTCAAGGAATTTTCAAAATTTAATTTATTTTCATAGGAATTTTTCGGAATTTCACTGAAATTCTCTTTTAATACCCAGGAATTTCTGGGAATATTAATGAAGTTTCAAGTAATTTCTTAAAAATTCATCGAAATATATTGAAATTTCTTGTTATTACATGGTAATTTTTCGGAATATCACCGAAATTCCATGTTTTTAGCTGGAAATTCCTCGGCATTATTAAAATTCAGTAAAAACTGAAATTTCATGTTAGGAATTTCGGTGTAATTTCTTAATTGTTTAAAATTCCTCCATGTAATTCATTTAGGATTTCGTGTAATTCGATCAAAATTTCACTGAAATTTCAAGTAATTCGAGAGGAATTAAAATTTAATGTGAATTCTATGAAAACTCCGCAAAAATTTCACATCTAATTCCTTTTTCAGAATAACATAATTATTCTACTGAAATTCCACTAAATTATGGAATAGACCTGTCTCGCATGATTAGAAAAAGTGAGCTTAATTGTAATAAATACAAGTTAGAAAGCAATAGAGGATGACATGCGCGCGCAACTTGTAGGCTGCAGTGTAGCCAGAGCCAGATTCTATTGTTGCAGAACCAAATGTAAACAATACAAATCGAACAGTATGACATTAAAGAAGTGATATAGTGTCGAGGGTTTTACAATGCCTTAAATCAGACAAAAGAAGAGCTTTAAAGTGGATGACTATCGTTTGCACTTTTATTTTGATAAATGTTTCATCCGGCAACATCGCTCAATGAATATATGTCAAGTATAATCTAACATAACCTTAAACGAAACTGCGGTGAGTGCAAGTAATATGTAAAGTATTAGTTTGCTCTTTGTCAAATTACACGTTACAAAGAAAGAAGGAACGATTGATTCTGAACTGGCTCCTGAATTAGAATATGAGGCAAGCCTGTCACAAACTTGCTTCTCATTGGACGCTCACCTGCAGCCTACAAGCGACGCGCGCAGTCCAGGTAATAGGAGATCGGTCTATTCTGAGATTTTAATATATTTTTGGGGATTCCAAAGGATATTTGGGAATTTTAAAGGAAATATTTTTCAGAAATGTCAATGATTGGGTTCAAAATAACCTATAAATCGAGATTTGATAAAAACATATGGCAACGTTGCTCATGATACAACAAACGTCAAAAAATTGAAATTTTAAACCTTGGGTTTTTTTGACAATCGATACAAAATGACGTCTTTTTGTTTCAAAGATTACGGCCCAAAGGGCCGGAGTATGAAAAATCAGTTAACAATGAACGGGTTCGTTCGGATAAAACTTTTGTCGCACGACACTTTGGCAATATCGACAAATGTCACCTGTCAAATTTGACACATGTTCGACTTTTTTTCCGCTCTGCTATAAAAGCTACGAAAATCAAGGCAGTTTCGCGACGCCAACTATCGATTTGTGTCAAAAAAAAATTGACAGCTGTCAACGTCAAAAAAGTTTTTTTATTTTTTTATTTTGCGAATTTCGAGAAAAAAAGTGATAGAAAACCATCCCCGGACCCCAAAAACCTTAAATAAAAATTCCAAAAAAAAAACCAACGAAAATGACATTCCAAAACCTACTTGATAAAAATAGAGTTTTTCTCACTTACCCCGTTAAAACACTGGCAATTTTTGGTGGAAAATGAAGAAAACTCAAAACCTCTTACTTTAAATAGGTTTTTCCGACCAGAAAAGCTCTGGAAAAGCGGACAAATGCAAAGAAAAACCTCTAAAAATGACATTCCAAAGCCTACTTAATGAAATTTGAGTTTTTGTCACTTACCCCATTGGAAAACTGGGAATTTTTAGTACAAAATGTAGCAAATTCAAAGCCTCGTATTTCAAATCGGGTTTCTTGACTGAAAACGACTTGGAAAAGTGGAAAATTCTAGGAAAAACTGAACCACCCGTCAAGCCCCCTTCGGGCTCGCATATAACTCCGGCCCTTAAGGGCCGGAATTACTGTAAATGCATTTTTAAACTTGAATAGCGTAAAAACAGCTGAACCAAATATCAACATAAGTATATGGTATGTTTGGAATCAGAAGAAAACGATCTATCATTCTAGACAAAAATATACAGGGTGTTCCATTTGAAAAATGCAAGTGTTTGTCATTGTGACAGTTGACACCTGTCATTTGCCCAATTTGACATTCGAAAAAGATAATAGACATAAAACCCTACACCTTTCATATTTAAAGTTTTTTTACACTTCATATAGCATAAGCTGTAGGTAGGGGGTCAAAATATAAGGAAACACCCTGTACATTCTACAGCATTTTGAAAGTCTATCCAGCATTTGATTTTGTACAGCAAACAGCAAACATAAACATACTAACATACAGGGATTCAGAAATTAATTAGGTTTCCTGAAAAATTTCCTGATTCCTACTAAAAATTGTTGGTCCATGTTCGCGTCATACTGTAATAAATGAGAAATTTATTTTTGACTGTAGGATTTTTAGCGGAAAAATACCTATTAATATTTTTGACTGAAAATGACTATCAAATGATATGCCTGAAAAAGGTGGCGTGACACTCAAAAAATGCTCGCCTTCCGCGGTTATCTTTCGGTTCGGGGGGCCTGCCGGCAGCTACCCATCCCTGTCTTATATCCAGTTTTTTGTCACAAAAAATATGACCACCCCTTCATAAAAAGGGCCTCGCAATTCGGATGTCGCCGACGTCCACGTTTGGTTTAGCTACGCCGCTACGCCAGTGGTGAAGGCAAGACAATCTTCACTGTTGGATCAATAATGCCAGGTCTCATTCAAAGGCTTGTTAAATATAAATAGGTTTAACTGCATTCTCCTCAGAAAATATTGTTGTTAGGAAATTAGCTACTATTACTGATAAATAAGCCTCTAAAGTATAATAAGTTTATTAAGGATGCATGTGAGATTAGGGGCTGATTTTTGCTTAACGCTAATGTTGTTTTGCCGCATCTTTAGCAGCCAAAATTAAAGGGGTTAAACTGGCCAGAGGTCGCGCTAATCGTAAAAAGGGATGCTGTAATTTAAAAAAAAATAATCAATATTTCCTTATAAATGAAACAAATTTAAATTTCACTCACTTTTAGGAGATCTTTCGCTGATGAACGCTTATCTACTTCTACAGCCAAACACTGATCAAGAAAGTCTTGAAAAGCTGCAGATAATTTTTCCTTTTCTTTGATATCCGGCTTACCATTGGTGGCAATCAAATACAAAGCCCTCAATGGATTCTCGTTAAGATAAGGAGGCTCGCCTTCTATCATTTCTATGGCCATTATTCCCAACGACCACACGTCAACCTGTAATTTAATCACTATTTTATTTAGGTGCGAAAGGTAACATTAAACTTACTTTGGGACCGTATTGTTTCCGAGTGACCACTTCCGGTGCCATCCAATAAGGCGTGCCCACCATGGTGGTTCTTTTCGACTGTTCCGGACTGATTTGAGCACAAAAACCAAAATCCGCTGAAAATAAATCAACAATAATAAACAAACAAATTCAAACAAGCCTTAACCACTTACTTAATTTGACAGAACCGTCGAGGCCCAGCAGTATATTGTCAGACTTGATATCCCTGTGAATGACTTGGTTCGAGTGTAAAAAGTCCAAGGCTTGCAACACTTCGCGACAAACGGCCGCTATTTGGCCCTCGTCCATGCAGGTTTCGGTGACTACGTCCGTTAAAGAACCGCCGGGCAAATATTCCATGACCACCCACAATTCCTCGTTCACCAAATAGCTATCTAAGTAGTTGACGACGTTGCTGTGTTTGTTCTCTCGCATCACCAGAATTTCATTTATGATCAGTTCCTTTTTCGGTTGCTGGGATAGGTTCATTTGTTTTATTGCTACTTCCATGCCGGTACCAGTTTCGATTGCTGTGTAGACTGTACCAGAGGCACTAGAATATTTCAAAATCTTATCATTCCAAAAATTAAAATAAATGAAGTATTCTGGTATTTGGTTCAATTTTATCTTCAAATTCTCTAATTAAAACACAGAGGGATAATTTAATACATTTTGCTAAGAATTCTATAAGTATGTCTGTAAACAATATTTGAGAAAAAATTTCAATAGAGTAATAATTTTCTGCGTCAACACATTCATGATGACAGATGACGCCAGAAGGAAACAGAAAAAACTCCTCCCTGCCTCGCCTCTAACATCCAGTATGCATCGTCGCGTGGGAGATGGAGGAGCGACGTCGACCTCCATCTCCGCTCTTGTTTTGACCTTTTTAAGTTTATTATTAGATAAGTGTTTTGAGTCTTGTTTGGAGTGGAATAAAGCAGCCTAGTAAGGGCCAAGATAATCAGTTGTGTTATTGGAATTTACCTCTTTTGCAACACGGATCGACTTCACGCCCTCGAAAATAAGGGCGAATCATCACATTTGGCGCCCAACGTGGGGCACGCGAGCAGAGGGGAAACGATGGTGGTTACAATTGGGTGAGCATTTTCCATTTTATTAAATTGAGAAGCCGTTAGCTTAGTTTCCAAAACGAGGACTATATTCGACGCGGAGACAACAAGCGTGTTGGGTGCGCTGTCAAATCGGCGTAGGAATGCAGTTGGCTGATTTCATTGGTGGTGGACTCGAAATTCATTTTGGTGCTTGCACTGTTTGTATTTGGATCGAACAGCTGAACTCCAAGCGGATCGACGCGACAAGGACAATGCGCGTTAAGAGGATAAACACATTTCAGCCAGTAGTATCTATTAATTTTGCTGGTACTTTAATTTTAAATTTATTGGTAGTTTTTGTCTTTACTGTTATTTTTTTTTTTTTTTTTTTGGCTGGTATCTATTATTTAAACTTTATTTCTCGATATTATTTGGTAGTATTTAAATATTTTAAACGTATACAATGAGTCCAAAAAATAGAAAAAAAAAGAGAAACACTAATAATTCTGGGGATTCAGATGATGATAAACTTTTGAGTGAAGTTAGGTCACAAAGGCAGTCAAGGGGAACTTTAAAGTTACTTAAAAATATTTCGGTAAATATGGCGGAGTTGCAGGACTGTGTTTCTAGACTGTCTTCGGAGGTGCAGGTCATTGATAAAAGAATTCGCGTACAGGTGTAAAAGACGGTGTGATTCTAGAACAGAATTTTTTGAATTTAGAATTTACATATAAGTTAAAAATGTCAAATAACAAAATAAATTTGAATTTAGAATTTACATATAAGTTAAAAATGTCAAATAACAAAATAAAATATTGAAAACTGGAAAAGATGAGTGCTGCCGTTTGGCAGGGTTTTGACAGGTGTTAAAACGGTTGACATTTTTCGACTTAACTTGGTCGACTTAGGGTGGGTATTATAAAACTGCTTTGACAGTTAACTTGAAGTTTACTTTTTGAATTACATGTAATTCTAGAAGTTAACTTTAAGTTAACTCTCGAAGTAGTTTTATAATACCCACCCTTAGTAGAAATAGATTTTTTGTTCATCAAAATCTGCCAAAGTTAGTAATTTTTTCTGAAATTTCTTTCAATACGAATATTTTTTATTTACTTCATAGATGGAAGAATACATCATCGATTTTATTGGAATCATATCTTGTCCACTACCCTATTCTCAAGCCACCATAATACAATCAGCCAGATTTTTGCCAACCCTGGCTTCCAGCTTTTTTCAAATGGGATGCCCTATATTTCATTCTATATTCTTGAAGACCACAATGCCCCGATATATATTTGATTATTTTAAAAAGTCCCTCACTGTATCCGCCACTGTCTTTGTGCAAGTATAGTATGGTGATTTTTCATAGAAGGTGAACATGTGGATGGGAAGTATGAGGTTGTTTTTATGTCTCGTCTCATACTGGTGGATTTCAGTTTTTTTTTGAATTTCTCTCGATTTTTGTGTATGGTATGTACAGTGTGTCCCATTTTGGTTGTCCATAAAGAATAACTCGGTTGCTATTGGAGTTAGGAGGATGCGGTTTCCGCGAACGTTGGCTACTTTTTTGTCAAACGAAAGATGGCGCCAACAGAATTGTCATAGCTCTTTTTGTTTTTCAGATACAAAGTGTTTCTGAAAAAGTTGCATTTTGGGATACCCCTTGTATCTCGGTTTACTCATAGGTTATCGAAAAGGTGACAACGGATTCTTATAGATATTTTCACGTAACTTCCAGTGGCGTAGTCAGTTTTTCTCTAGAAGTGATATTTTTTCAAATTATGAACCAAACATATGTTTTTTTAGATGAGACACCCTATATATTATAAACTCATTAGATAGCTCTAATTTTTCTGATTTCAATGATATAAAATTCGATAGGTTTATCTTAAACAGTTTTCGAGCAAAAAATGTTTTTCTGTTTTTTTCCAAAAGAAACAATGTGTTAGAAGGAGACCTTTCTCATTTTCCTTACAGATGCAAAGTCCTTTTCTGACACATTGTTTCTTATGAAAAACACAGACATGATCAGTGGCGCACCGAGAAAATATGTTTGAGCGGGCCCTACATGGATTGTGGCTTGTGACTAAAAATCTGAAAAAAATAAATTAGGTGTCAGGGTGCCTCGCCTTGATGTTGCTACATTTTTTATGCGTAAAAATACAGTTTTAGAGAGGTAGCCTGGGGGGGCCTTGGCCCGATGCCCCCCCCCCCCCCCTGGGTGCGCCACTGGACATGATAGAGATAAACCTATCGAATTTTATATCATCGAAATTAGAAAGAGCAGAGCTATCCAATGACCCATCAATATACAGGGTGTCTCATTTGAAAAAACGTATTTTTGGTTCATAATTTAAAAACTATCACTTCTAGAGCAAAACTGACTACGCCACTGGAAGCTACATAAAAATATCTATAAGAAACCGTTGTCACCTTTTGGATCACCTCTGATAGAACCGAGATACAAGGGGTGTCCCAAAATGCAACTTTTTCAAAAACACCTTGTATCTGAAAAACCAAAAGAGCGATGACAATTCTGTTGGCGCCATCTTTCGTTTGACAAAAAAGTAGCCAACGTTCGCGGAAACCGCATCCTCCTAAGTCCAATACCAACCAAGTTATCCCTTATGGACAACCAAAATGTGACACACTGTACAATGAAAATGCTAAAATTATTTTAATAGGTGATTTTAATGTAAATTTTCACTCAGATAGTAACACTAAGAATCAATTTTTGAACTCGTTACAGTTTTTTGATCCGTCTCCGACTGCATATGAGAATACGAGGGTTACAATAGCAAGCGATTCTTGTCTAGATAATGTCATTATAGGCAAATTAAGCAATTTTGCAAGTCCTCTAATAAATCGGCACATCTCTGATCAATAAAAATAAACACCTCAATTATAAAATAACGAGTTACTGAAACTAACGCGTTACTTGGTAACTTCGTTACTTTTCAGATTGGTTGATAAGTAACTGTAACGACGTTACTTTCCTGAAGTAACTGCAGATCGTTATTTTGTTAAAGTAACGAGTTACTATGAAAGTAGCGCGTTACTATGAAAATAACGCGTTTATATGGAAGTAACTCGTTACTAGTTACTATGAAAGTAACGCGTTCTCTCAATTTGTTTATCTTCTTTACAAATAATTGACGATTGAGGAAAAGGAAAATAAGTAATCCAAAAACTTTATATGTCAAATAAAATATGGGTAGTATAGAAATTTTGTTTTGAAAACTCAAAATAATCGTTTTTGGCATTTCGTATAGGTCTTATTTGATTGTTTGGACTGCTGTGTTGGTGAGTCAAATTAAGGAATAACCGAATTTTCGACGTAAATAGTTATTTTTGAAGTAACGCTTTATTTAAAAGTAGCGCTTTATTTCAAACTAACGCGTTGAGGTAACGGGTGTTACTTTCAAATAACGAGTTACTTTTAAGTAACGAACTGATTCTAAAGTAAAGAAGTTACAGTAACGCCAGTGGCAGTCCATACATGATTTTCTGGGGGGGGGGGGGGGGGGGGGGGGGGGTAATGGAGGACGGGAAAATCATCAAGTGTCGGAACGTACCGCCGGAGGGTGCCACGCCCAAATTTGCACCCGAAAGTCATTTAAAAAACAAGCTTGGGGCAAAAATGTATCCCGATGCCGTCAAAACAGCTATACAGGGTGTCCACTTAGTGCGATATCGGACGATATCTTCTTACAGGGTGATGCAAGGAAAAAATATATAAATTCAAAGTTGTTTGATGCCCTAAGGAGCATTACTTAAAATTATTTTTAAATATACAGGGTGCTCTGTAAATGGGGTATGCGACAGAACTTTGTTATTTTTAAATGGAACACCCTATATTTTAGTATATTCTATCGTTCTAAAAATCCTACATACTTTTTGTTAGGAATCATCTATACCAAAACTCAACCGTTTTCAAAATATTTAATATTTTTTCAAAAAAACGCAGCTTGCATGTGTCAACTAAAACCAACATATTTCATCTATTGGAGATCCTATAAGCTAAAGCTTTTGCAGGTTGTTAGTGCATAATGTCTGTCGATTTTAATCTGATACTCCAACAGAATTTTAGCTGGTGGCTCCCTACATTAGAACGCTAATTACCTGACGTCACACCTGTTTTTGCCATATGAAATACCCCCTCGCTCTTCATACGAAAAGTGTCAGTTTAGAAACGACGGACTTTACTTAAATTTACTTCATGGTTCTATGAAAATCTGTTAACATTCTTCTACAGGGTGTTCGCAATACTGTACACAAGACCAAACATTTCAAACAACCATAGCACTGTATAGTAGTAAGTACGCAAGGTTGTTTGAGAGAGGTAGGTTGCCTGATAACTTTATGACGTCATCTGAGGTGCCTCAATATAATGCAATGCTGCATAAGGCCCCCCAGATGCGTCATCATGTTACCCATTACCAGACAACCTATGAACTTTAGGAACTTTAGTAGGTACGTCGGTACTGGTGAGCCTATCATATTCATACGATGCCTTTACTTTGTAGAACTTGTCTTTTGTTGAAATTTTGTTGTAATTAATAAATGTATTCAAAAAAATCTTTGTCTGGGGGGGGGGGTAATTACCCCCTCTACCCCCCCCTTTAGACCGCCCTTGAGTAACGCGTTACTTTCCAATAAGTAACGAAAATAAAGTTATCATTATTCGAAAGTAACTGTAAATTTTAAGTAACGAGTAATTTTTAAGCAAAAGAACCTGTAAAGTAACGCGTTACTTTTTTCAACTAACGATCCCAGCTCTGGCACCCATATGAAAACAACAGCATGTATCTAAAGTACATTTCTTTTAAAATAGCCTAATGAGTGCGGGAAATTTCTTCCCGCCATATATTTTTTCTACGAGCATACTAATTGTGATGAACGAAAAGTTTTATTTAAATAAAATGTGATTGTGCAGAAGGTAAAATTAAAAATGTATTAACCAGTATTTACAAAAAAAAAGGTAAAGGTTAACAATACAAACAATTCGATGTCACAATGATTATTTCAAAGTCTTTCCGCACCAGTGCGGGAAGAAAACTCCGCACAGCAAATAGTGCGGGAAGAGCCATTTCTTGCACGCTCGTAGAAAACTTATTTTTGTACTATTTCCACCTCATTAAAAAAGTATTACCCACATAAATCTAAAAATACTAAGCACTCTGAGGAAATAGATTCTTGCAAAAAACAATTGGATTTATACTATATGTTATCTCGATACAATGGTAACTATAAAACTCAATATAACCAGTTAAAATTCCAATATAATAGCATATTGAAGAAATCTCGAAGCAATTAGTTGGTGGCAACGTCGCAGCACGATCTGGTATTGTCTGTGTTATCTTCTTAAGAATTTTGTTATTTAAAGGTGATAAAATGAAAATTAAAAACTAGTGAAGTGTATTAGTGCATAGAATTACTTAATGTGAGCGCAAGGAAAATCCAAATTAATCAAATCTTTGGGATTGAAAAAAAACACAACATACATATTTTTGTACCGTATGTTTAATATAAACAACCATTGCATTGAAGTGTTACCAAGTTTGAAAAATTTTTGCAACATCAAAAACCGACAGCAACATGGGTGGTAATACGAAAAAATGTCTGTGTGAAAAATGTGAAACCAACATTACAAAGACGCAATTCTCTATTTACTGCGATAAATGTAAAGGCTGGTTTCACCAGAAATGTTCAGATATTACAGAGATTGACCTCAAAGTTGCTAAACAGCTAAACAATAAATGGCTGTGTGACAAGTGCAAAGCTCATACAAAAAACGAAATAAGAAGATCACTTGACCCCTCGCAAAGCTCAAGCAGGCAGCAATTGGTAGGTGCAAGCACTAAAAATAACTCCTCAAACGATGATATCAAGGTCTATCTCATTGAAATAAGGGCAGAACTCATAGCTGAAATATGTGATTTAAAAAATGACTTGAAGTTTTACTTGGACCAATACGACATACAGAGAACTGAAAATATAACTTTCAATAAAGAAATAAAATCTCTAAGAAGAGAAAATACTTAGATAAAGGGGGAGTTACAAAAGCTCAAGCGCCTATATGAATCTCATGGGCAAAAACAGAGATCATCCAATATTGTACTGGTAGGCTTGAGCAGCATTGCTGAGGATGTGAAAAAAAATCCAAATGAATTGAAAAAGAAAGCAGAAAAAGTACTGGAATATATAGATAGCAACTTGGCCCAAGTGATGTTAAAATAAATATTATAAATTGCAACAAAAACAATATGCCAATCATGATTTCTTGTGAAACTACAGAAATAAAGGAGAAAATTATGGAAAAAAGAAAAGCCATAGGAAAAATTACGAAACTTTGATATGACCATTGAGCAGCGAGAACTCTACAAGGAAGCAAGAACCCTTCAAAACAATGGATATAAGTATGTGTGGGTTGAAGTCAGGATAAATTTTTGTTTGAAAGGACGAGGATCACCAGGCAAGTCGTATTTATTATTATTATTATTAATTCAATAAAGAACCTTCTGACACAAGCATATAATCAGGCCTATGAAGTATCCTGTCCTGTTATTTCAACAGTTGTGTTATAGCTCAAAATCTATACCTATCTCTATTTTTACATATAGAATAAACAGTGACAGCTAACTTAACGTTGCTGGTAAAATAACAGGAAATGAAACATCATAGGCCTGATTATGTCTAAAGTAACATAGCAAATAATATAAAACAAAACTTATCAGCTATGTAACTATGTACCAGAGGAATCATAATTCTATATTTCTGACACCAGTGACTGAGGGTAAAATAGTAAAATTAAAATTCACGCAGGATTTTTGAAAAATCCTCTGACAAAGATAACATTCCCATTTTTCTACTTAAAAAGTATATTCATTCAATATCTCCAATTTCCTGCCTAATTAATTTCTCATTTAAAAGTGGGTAGTAGATCTTAAAAAATCAACTATTTTTGCAGTATTTAAAAAAGGTGACAAAAAAGTTTTGTCAAACTATACACCGATAAGTCTACAATCATCCTTTTCAAAGTATTTGAAAAAGCGATGTATGATAGATTAATGAGTTTTCTGGTACAGTATAATATTCTACATCCCTTCCAACATGAGATTCTAAAGGGTTGGTCTATTGACACTGCTATACAGGACTTTATTGAGCCAGTGCTAGACGCTTTGGAGGCTGGTCGGGAAGTCTGTGGGCTTTTTCTGGACCTCTCCAAGGCATTCAACCATTTAAATCATGAACTTTCGTTGTCAAAAATGTATAATTATGGCATAAGGGGCCAACCTCATCAGTGGATACAATCCTATTTGAAGGATAGGACCCAGGTAGTAAAAGTTAAAAGAGTGCGGGAAGAACAAATTTCAAAAATATAAATAAGCAATCTGGGTATACCACAGGGAAGCATTCTGGGCACATTGTTATTTGTAATATTTTTAAACGATATGCGTTTAAATATTGATATCTATGTAGATCTGCTAGAGTCATATGAACACAATTTTAAGTGTTTGGAAAATTAGTTAATTGAAAATAGGCTTGGATTAAATGCTCAAGAGACACAATGTGTGTTTTTCAAAACAAATAGAAATATGTAAAAGAAATATGCCTGATAGTATAAAGTTACATAACAACTGCATTTTTGTAAGCAATATTTGTAAGTTGTTGGGAGTAAACATTGATTTATGTGTAAATTTTCAAAATCATGTTGAATGTCTATTAAAAAGGCTTTCTTCATCATGTTATGCATTGAGGCTCAACATTCAAACTTTCGATACATTAAAAACTGCCTACTATGGAATATTCTACTCATATCTTAAATATGGTATAATTTTTTGGGGAAGTCCTCCAAATTTAAATGTTGTTTTCAAAAACCAAAAAATTGCCCTTAGGATAATAAATAAAGCTCAACCACTAAGCAGTTGCCCTGGTTTCTTTAAGTCTGCAAATCTTCTCACACTGCATGCAGTTTTAATATTCGAGAGAATTTTATTTGTGAAAAGAAACTCCCATATTTTTGATAGTTTCCTTTCCTAGTCAGCCATAGTCATAGTACTTGTGGAGTAAATGTCTTGTATATTATTCTCATGCATTACATTACCCTTACACTAACTGAAAAAAATTGCTTTTATTCCTGCATCAAATTGTGCAACCAATTACCAAAAAAAGTTAGGGATATAAATAATCTTAAACTATTTAAGAGAAATCTGTGTGATATAGAACCATATACTATGGAAGAATATTATAGCAAGTTGAGTGATTTTGCCTTGTAGGTTTAGGGAATTTTAGTTGTATAGGAACTTTAAGTGTTAATTAGTTAATTTTGATAAGTCAATGTAAAACTTTTTGTTTTCATTCATTATGTGTAGTTTGATTTTTGTTTTTTTTTTTTTTTTCACATATACTTTCAAAATATAAGTAAAAGAAATTATCTATCTATCTATCAATAATAATTTCTCTTATAATTCAAATTATTGTACCATATACCATTCAGGAATAATCAAATATCTATTGATATAAAAGTTGTATGACAAATTTTCATAGAAAAATAACACTTACCCTTGACCGATCTTATCTAATTTTGTATATTTCCTATTCGGATCCCCCACAGACACGATACTGCGTAGTTTTTCCAAAATTTCCTCATCAGACATTTTTTTCTTGCGTTTTTCCGATGCTGCGCGCGAAACATCCGGTCCAGGCGGATTCTTTCGAAATAAGCCAAATTAAACATCTTCCGAAAATTATTTTTCAACATTACTAACCTTATTACGATCCAAAACAGTGCCACTAGAGCTGTTGTTAGAATTAGCCGTTGTCGAAGCTGTACATGATGTGTTGACATAGGAGGGGCTCAAACTGTGAGGCGTCGGTATCGAATTTACATTGTTTGCTGGTAATTTTTCATCTTCAATTGGTTTTGTATACTGTTTTGAAATATAAATTGAATTATAATGTATTTGGTTTTAATGACTGTTTGCTTACAATGCTTTTAGTTCTTTCGGGCCTACTAGCAATAGGAGGTGGCGGTGCTTCGTCTTCAATTTCCGAACTGGGGACGTGGACAGGACTGTGGTAAGAATGCGGGCCCCCTTCAATATCCGTGGGAGTGGTACTACTAGGACTGGAGCTCGAAACGCGACTCAGAGAAGAACCTAGGTATTAAAATTTTAAATAATGTTCCAAAAACTAGTCAAAATTCTCACCAGAGTGAGTGGTAGCGTTGGTTTTGGTCATATACTTAGCGTTGGGTGGTTCCTTGGAAGTATTATCGTACCAATTTAATACATCTAAAACGGCTTGCGGATTGTTTTTCTGTTCCTGTTTGCTAATGTTTGAATTCATTAACAATCGGGACCACGCCTCTGGCATTCCCTATAACAACCAACATTTTTAAAAAAACGTTTCTTAAACTAATACAACAAAGAAAAAACTACAGTCAGAATACAATTGCCTAAAAAGAATGAATCTAGTCTGTTTCTGCTGAGGATTTTTACTCAATTATAGCATCGACTACATAGTACCTTGATTTAAAAAAAACTGATTTGATGAAGAAAACATGCAATAAAAACAAATGTCTACTCAAAAAAATGCAACTAAACAAAAAAAAGAAAGAGAGGGTTTCAAAGACACTAAGTCTTACTTACTTTTAAAGGCAGCTTGTAATAGAATATAATTATTAATCAATTTAAATTTTGAACACAAAATCATAACAAGCACCTACAACCCAACCAACCAACAAAAAAAAAAATTAAATATATGTAACTTGAAAAATACTAATAATTCTCACCGTAAACTCTCCAGACACTGGATCAAATCCCACGTGAACTGTATGCTCAAAATTGGTAGGATACGAGATATTTGGCTTATCTGACGAGTATTTGGATAGAGTAGAAGCTTTTTTAACTTTGAGGTTTTTCTTTTTCCGGTCCGCATCGTCGGGTTCTTTGGGTAGAGGCCGGTCCACTGTGATGGTGTTTACAAAATCTGTGCCTCTATTGGACGTCAACCGAACAGGGGGCGCTGGTGGTTTTTCCTCGTCAGACGACATCTCAGTTGGTTACTGAAATAAAATTAAAAAAAAAACATGCTGAAAATACTATTATAGTTGGAGTCTTCTCTAAACCTTGAAATACCTGTAGATTATATTTGGCACAATACCTACAGCCTTTACTATTTAAGATAGAAAAAAATTTTAAATACAAAATTTGACAGTTTTTTTCTATATTTTCTTTTGACAGTATCAGAAAAAACAAAATCGCATCGGAAAATGGAGAAACGTAGGCAACTTCAACTTTTTCCAATAGAACACCCTGTATATTATGTGATAAAATTAAAGATCTTTTTTTCCTGATTCCAAATATATATATATATATATACAGGGTGTATATTTTAGGTGATGCCACTATTGCTATATCCGAAACGGTGAGAGCTACTGGGTCGGTTAAATGAGAAAAAAGTTGCCTTGTTTGATGCCCATTTAAGACTCGTTTACAGTGTTGCCAAATTTCTTTTAGTTTATGAAATACAGGGTGATTTCTAAGAAACGTCCAAAAATATTTCATCATTTATTTCGAAAGCTATTGATTTTTGAGACACAATTTAAATTTGAAAGTTTTATAATTTTTTTCGCTCTACAACATGACATCTTCAAATTTCAAACCCGACGTTTCGTGATCGAGATACCATCATTAACATCATTTTTTTAAATACGGACCTAGATTTTTTATATCATTTTTAGGAAACGCCCTTAATCCTCTTTCCAAAAATGACATTAAAAATCCAGGTCCGTATTTAAAAAAATGAAGTTGATGATGGTATCTCGATCACGAAACGTCGAATTTAAAATTTGAAGATGCCATGTCGTAGAGCGAAAAAAATTATAAAACTTTCAAATTTAAATTGTGTCCCGAATATCAATAGTTTTCAAAATAATTGACGAAATAATTTTAGGCCTTTTTTATATATCGCCCTGTATTTCATTAACTAAAAGGACTTTGGCAACACTGTACACAATTCTTGAATGAGCATCAAAAAAGGCAACTTTTTTCTAATTTAACCGACCTTGTAGCTCTTACCGTTTCGGATATAGCCATAGTGGTATCACTTAAAATATACACCCTGTATATATTGAGCACATTTGAGTGAGCCGTTTTTGAAATATTTTAGCTTAAATTTGCAAAGAAATTTCATAAGGATGTCAAGACATTTGAATTTTCATAAAATTCCTTTGGATTTTATTTAAAATTTAAGCTAAGATATATCAAAAACTACTCACTCAAATATGATCAGTATATATATATTTGGAATCAGGAAGAAAAGATCTTTTATTTTATCGCATAATATACAGGGTGTTCCATTGAAAAAAGTAGAAGTTGCCTACGTTTCTCCATTTTCCGATACGATTTTGTTTTTTCTGATACTGTCAAAAGAAAATATAGAAAAAAGCTGTCAAGTTTTGTATTTAAATTTTTTTTCTATCTTAAATAGTAAAGGCTGTAGGTATGGTGCCAAATATAATCAAATACCCTGTACCTCCATTATCTTGAATTTTTTGTATAAATAATTTTTTGCCATTATAAAAGTATCCTTATTCCGTATTGGATATCATGAACTATTTTGTTATTGACCAGTCTATCAGTCAAATAGTTTGGTGCTAGCCCATTTTTTATGTTGTAAATAAACACCAACACTTGAAATTCCAGAAGATTTTCTATAGGAATAGGAAACCACTTTAATTCTTTCACTTGAAAATAGGTATAGATTTGGTGCATTTTTGACATAAAACTGTGGAGTGTATGGAGTTTGGGGGGTCTCCAATAATCATTTAGACCAGCGGTTCCCAACCGGTGGGTCACGACCCCTAAGGGGGTCGCATTGAGTTTTTGGAGAGGTCGCAATGCCAATATACAGGGTGTCCAAAATACCATAGGCCACCATTGGTATATCAGAAACGGTGAGAGATACGAGGGCGGTTAAATTAGAAAAAAGCTGCCATTTTCAAAGGGTATTTAAAATATATTTTCGTTGTTGCCAAATTTCTATTAGTTTCCGAGATACAGAATGATTTGTAAAAAAAACAGTTCTAAGTGTTTTTATGTGCCATGCATAGTTCATATCCTTATGTCGCCCTACTCATACTATCTTTTCGGATACTAATATCATTTGCCTCTTCCAGGGTTGCCAGATTTCACCTTTGAAAAAGCGAGACAGCGGATAGAAAAATAAAACAATATAGGTAGGAAACACAGCCTAAAAGGATGTTGTCGGCGGGAAATCAAGATATATTTCCTCACATTTTTAAAAATCGGGACATTTGGTATTCAATTCGTGAATCGGAACGGTTCGGAAATATCTCTAAAAATCGGGACTGTCCCGCCTAAACTGGAACGTCTGGCAAGCCTGATTAGAGCCTAATTTCATCAAAATCGGATTGAAATTAAAAAACCGACCAGTAGACAACAGTCCAGTAGTACACGGTACTCAAATATGAATGATATATAAGGAATTTAATTTAATGGTACTTTTGTTATCAATTTAAGTGGGTACTACTACTACTTTATCAAATAATTTCCTTTGTGTTTGATTTTAATTGAATTATGACGTCCTACATTCTTTCTGTCTTTGTCAAACTCATGTATAATCGCTTTTGATGTTTTTGCAATAGTATGTACTACTTTACTGTTGTCTTTGTCTTACTCATTTATACTCGATAAGTAGGCCTTGTAATATGTTATTTTCATTGAAATTCAATTGAAAACAAGTTTCCAAAGGAATTTATTGTTTTATAATCGTTATTAATTATTTATTTGACCAGTTTTAATTAAATTTAATTATTTAAAATGTTATCGATGTCATAATGTGGCAACGTCGCTTTTAGTCGGCTATTTTGCAGTGACGTGTTTACGTTTTTATCCAGTTTTTCCTCAGATTTTCCACTTTTTCAAAGCGTTTTCAATCGGGAAAACTAGTGAAAGCACGTGGCGTTAGGTTTTCATCATTTTCCAACAAAAAATTCCAGTTTTGAATGCCATAATTAGCAAAATGCCATTTAAAATGGTTTTTCAGGTTTGGACAACAGTCGGCCATTTTAAATTAATTCGTATTTTTTCTCGAATTTTCCGCTTTTCCAGGACGTTTTTAGCCGGAAAAACTGGTTTAAAGTACGAAGCTTTGAGTTTCCTTCATTTTGTGTCAAAAATGTCTACTTTTTCAATGAGGTAAGTGACAAAAATTCAGTTTCATCAAGTAGATTTTGGAGAGTCCTTTTTGGAGGTTTTTTTTTTTTGAATTTTCCACTTTTCCAAGGCTTTTTCGATCGGGAAAACTGGTTTTAAGTACGAGGCTTTGAGTTTCCTTAATTTTCTAACAAAAGTTTTCAGTGTTAAATGCAATATTTAGCAAAAACCCATTTAAAATACTTTTTCTGGAAGTTTTAATCTGGCAACACCGCTTGTGGCTAACTTCAATCAAGTGAATAAGTCATTTGTTAGCATTGACGGTCGGCCATTTTCAGTGTTTTTATCCTGATTTCTCTTCAGATTTTCCGCTTTTTCATGTCGTTTTCAATCAGGAAAACTGCCTGCCAAAAATGTCCTGTTTTCCAATGGGGTAAATGACAAAAACTCAAGTTTCATCAAGTATGCTTTAGAATGTCCTTTTCAGAGGTTTTTCTTCGGATTTTCCGCTTTTCCAGGGCTTTTTGAATCGGGAAAACTGGTTTTAAGTATGTGGCTAAGAGTTTCCTTCATTTTGTGCCAAAAATTTCCAGTTTTCCAATGGGGTAAATGACAAAAGGTCTGTTTCCACAAGAGTCTCTGACAGTTTGCAACCTGTCAGAAACAATCGTTCAGCTCAGCTACAGATTTATCTTTTAACGACAGCATTGAAAACATGTATGAGCGATGCTTACTGACAGTTTGCAAACTCCTGTGGGAACAGACCTAAAAACTCAAGTATGCTTTAGAATGTCCTCTTCAGAGGTTTTTCTTCGGATTTTCCGCTTTTCCAGGGCTTCTTTGGTCGGAAAATTGATTTTAAGTACGAGGCTTTAAATTTCCTTTATTTTGTGCCAAACATTTCTAGTTTTTCAATAAGGTAAGTGACAAAAACTCAAGTTTCATCAAGTAGGCTTTGGAATGTCCTCTTCAGAGGTTTTTCTTTGGATTTTTGCTTTTCCAGGGAAAATCAATTTTAAGTACGAAACTTTGAGTTTTCTTCATTTTCAGCCAAAAATTTCCGTGTTCCGTCCGCAAAAAAAAAAAACTAAAAAACAACTTTTTAGGGAATTTCTACTTTTAAAAATCAGCTTTTTCACTAAAATACTATTTTTCTTTAGTTTACAACACTGCTTTGTAGCCAACTTCACTCGGGTTCCAATCAAGTCGGCCTTGGAATGTAATTTCCAAAGCCCTGACAATGACATTTGACAGTCGGCAATTTTTAGTGTTTTTATTCCGGTTTTTCCGTGAACTTTCCACTTTTCCGGGATTTTTTAAATGGAAAAAAGTGTTTTTAAGAACCGAATTTATAGTCGTTCCTTGACTCTTCCTTGGAGAACATGAGTTTAGAATGCACACTTGCTACTATTTGACAAATAAGTCATGTCAATTCTAAACGTTCAAGGCTTCCTTAAGGTCTGAGGAAACCTCAAGGAGCGACTATAAATTCGGCCCTAAGTGCGGGACTTTGAATTTTTTCGTTTTTTTGCTAGAAATTTCCAGTTTTCCCATCGAGGTAAGTGACAGAAACTTTAATTTAAAAACAAGTTGTTCAAGGATTTTCAAAGAAAATTTATTATTTTGCTCTGCAATATTTTCGTATACCTTTAAGGCCTGACAACATTGAGCTGGTAATACAGAATTCTGTAATATTTTTTTTTATATCAAACGGCCTGACATGACAACATTGGGCCAGTAATACAGAACTTTGTAATGAAAAACTTGAAACTGCACTAAGTAGAGGTAACGTACAACATTTTATCTACGACCTTTTTTTCGAACAATAAGCCAATCGAGTAGAACTTGGAATGTTATCAGTGTTATTTACATTTACGTCAATTTC